AACATGATATTGCTGATATTTTTCTGAAAAATATTTTTTTCAATATTGTCTTCTTTTTATTTTTATTATAAAATTGCAGTCTTCCTTAGAGTTAAATTTATGGTGAGACCTTGAAGTGAGACCTTCAGACTTTTTTTTAGACCATAATTTTTTTTGAAGATTTTTTATTTGTCAGAGAGAGAGAGAACCCACGCACAAGCGGGCAAGCAGAGGGAGCAGCAGGCAGAGCAGGGAGCCCTGATGGATGGCAGACTCTATCCCAGGACTCTGGATCATGACCTGAGTCCAACACAGATGCTTAACTGACTGAGCCACCCATGTGACCCTAGACCATAATACTTTTCAATCAGAAAATACTCTCTTTAGGTTCTCACGTACCTGGTAAGGTCAGAGCAAATTCTATTAAATGGAAGAATCTCAATTTTTATTTATTTTATTTTTATTTTTTTGTAAAGGTTTTATTTAATCATTAGAGAGAGAGAGAGAGACAGAGAGAACACAAGCAGGGGGAGAGGCAGAGGGAGAGGAAGAAGCACATTCCCCACTGATCTGGGAGCCTGACATGAGGCTCCATCCTAGGACCTGGAGATCACGACCTGAGCTGAAGGCAGAACCTCAACCTTCTGAGCCACCCAGGTGTCCCAGAAGAGTCTCAATTTTTAAAAAATTTATTTTAAATAGGTAAATCTTTCACCTTCAGTATTTTTACAAGTTCTGTTTGTTTTTTTTTAACCCCTATTCAGAGTATCCTTTTTCAGTAGTGACTCTTCAATATTTAAAAATTTTTTTTTACTTTATTTTATTAGTTCTTTAATATTTTTAAAGATAAAGTTCATCAGGTTAAGTTGTGTGTGGTTTCTTTGAATGTTTCACAAATTTTAAGTGTATTTAATTTAATATTTAAAAATTTAAATAAAAAATTTAAAAATAAATTTATGAATAAGTTCATAAATTTATACAATTGAATAAGGAGTTCCCTCAAAAGATTCTTCTCACAGGTCAAGCTATTCCAGAGTACAATTAGCGAGTTTCAAAATTATATCCTTCAGTCTTTCAGCTTTTAATGTACAGTTTGTTCAATTCTTATTTGCTTTTGAAGGGATATGTTTTAGTTATCAACCTGTGCATAAGCTTTGTTTTCATTAACTGCATTTTACGGAAAGCTTCAAAGCCTTAAGTTGAATGCTTAAATTAAAGATTGTTAACTGATTTTGAGCAAGATGCTACTAAGACTTAGGGAACTTATTTCCAGTAATAATAATACCATCGTTATAGGACACGTAGGTTTCATAAATTCACTCTTCATGGGGTTACTTGTTGATGGGCATCAAGGAGGACACTTGCTGTGATGAGTACTGGGTATTATACACAGCTGATGAATCATCGAACACTAGATCTAGAACTAACCATCACTATATGTTAGCTAATTGAATTTAAATTTTAAAAAGTCACTCTTCAGGGGCGACTGAGTGGCTCAGTGGGTTAAAGCCTCTGCCTTCAGCTCAGGTTATGATCCCAGGGTCCTGGGATCGAGCCCCGCATCGCGCTCTCTGCTTGGCGGGGAGCCTGCTTCCTCCTCTCTCTCTGCCTGCCTCTCTGCCTACTTGTGATCTCTGAGTGTCAAATAAATAAATAAAATCTTTAAAATAAAAAAATTTAAAAAGTCACTCTTCAAAGGCTCAAATATTTAAAAAATCCTAAGTGATGATAGGCAGAAGAGAAAGCACCTCATGCAATGCTGAAGTATTTTTATGTATTTAATATCAGTTTGTTATAAAAATTTTGTTATTTTTCTGGTATAAATAAAATGATCTCAGAATTTGACAACTATGGCTTCTGTTTTAATTGGTTACATTATCGCAGTGCATTTGGTTATGAATTATGCTTTCAATTTGAAGTACATATGTGTTTCATAGGTTTCTTAACTCAGTAAGTACATTGTTTTTGCTACAGTGCTGTGCTCAACCAAAATGTATTAGTACAAAAATTAAGAATTTTATCTTTAGCATTGAACTTTTCAAATGAAGTTATATAGAATTGCCAATAATGTTAGATGTTTCACGTCCACAGAATAAACTTCTAGAAGCTTTACTTTGTTTCCATGAGCTGAAGAGAAGACTAAGCCATTATTGGAATTAATCTGACTGATTCTCTATTTAAACCCTCTGATGACTTTGAAATAAAGCCAGTATCATTTAAATGTTTGAAAAATTATTTTACTATTGGCAACAACGTATTAACAGCTATAACTTTACTTCATACTTGAATTAGAAAAATTAAAATGAAAAATGAACAAAATTAATTTAGAACCGCTGTCATATCTTTTAATGCTGTACTGTTCAGTACAATAGCCACTAGTGGCTCTTTGGATTTTAATTAAAGTTAATTAAATTTAAAATTCAGTTCCTCAGTTGCATGAGTGACATTTTAAACCCCACTTTAATTACTCAGGAGCCTGATTGAGACCATTTCCATCCTTTAAGAAAGTTCTCTTGGACACTACTAAATTATGAAAAGTTCCACCTGACAAGATGCAGACTCTGCAGCTGTAGAAGCATGGTTTTCAGGGAGTCACAAAATAACTACTAACTTACAAAGTAGATGCTCAGGTTTCTTCAGGAATTTTGTGTCTTCTGACTTCATATAGTTGGTTTATCACTCCAGCCCCCATGATAAGTGTCAACTAACATTTTGTTCATGTTACAGTTCCATTATCAACTTCTTGAGAAGCAGAAATGTAGTATTTAATTTTTTGTTAAATGTGTACTTTTGTTAAACTTATAGCATTTTTTTAGTTGCTACTATAAGGTATTTCATTAAAAGGCATAATCAATAATAAAGTTAACATTTAGTTTTATTCCTGTAGTAAATGACAAAAACACAGTCAGAAGAATGTTCAGGCAACTCTAAAAGCTCAACTTAACTATTTAACTTAACTATTTGTTGCATATATTTCCCATTAATTCCACTGTATTTCACTATAATTTGCCATTGGTACTGCCAGCTGGCACCTGCAACTTCTCCCTTGCTGGCCGGCTGACTGGGTCAAATAGTCAGTAGGGATAGCAATATGAAGTCCTTACCCCATCACTACTGAGGATTGGAAGAAATCACTGTAAGGCCTCTTGACTGGCTTCACTTTACTTTTTGTTTGTTAGCCCCTATTGTCTGCAAAAGGAGTTCTTAGTTATGTTGCATCAAGTAGTGTAAGACTGATGATTCACAGACCTGTACCCTTGAAACAAACAATACGTTATATGCTAATTAAAAAAAAAGGATTGGAATGGGGAGATGGGTTATCACTTGTCTTTTAGATTTACTTATGTGATAAAGGGAGAATTCTTTAATTGTACATGTTTCACTAGTAAACAAGATCATGGCAGAAGCTGGAAATACAAAGAGGTCTGTCAAACCCACCCAACCAGTTTTGATGCAAATAATATTAATATATTTTTTTAAAAAGATACTACATTTTATTTATTTTTTAAAGTTTATGTATTTTTTTTTAGTGACCTCTATACCCAACATGGGGCTCAAACTCACAACCCAAGATTAAGAGTCACAGGCTCTTCTGACGGAGCCAGTCAGGTGCCCCAATATTAATATGTCTTAAAATTTAAAAAAATTGAGGACCTATTCTAAACCAGCTGTATGCATAAATCAGGATTGTCCTAGGCTGGGGCACCTGGGTGGCACAGTGGTTAAGTGTCTGGCTTCAGCTCAGTTGATGATCACAGAGTCCTGGGATCAAGCCCCGCTTTGGGCTCCCTGCTCAGCAGAGAGTCTGCTTTTCCCTCTGGCTTGTGGTTTCTCTCTGTCTCTAGCAAATAAATACAATCTTTAAGAAAAGAAAAAAAAAAAAAAAAAAAGGAATGTCCTAGACAAAAAGACCAATGGTTCTATTTATTTCCTATAGAAGGGAATCCAAGCTTCTACCCTTGCGTTAAGATCATTGTAAATAGGATGACCCCCAATCTGCATTTTCTTTCTCAATTTCCTGTACTGTCTGCTCTGCTCTAGGTGAACTCCCCCATATTTTACTAACTTCATATTGTGGTTCATGTGGTTTCCTCTGGAACTGCTCTTTTCACCAATCTCAGCATATCTAGTTCTGTTTGCCCTTTGACTTCCCCATGTAGACACCATCTTTCTTATGAACCTCTACAGTTCTTTTTTTTTTTTTCTTCTTTTTTTTTTTTATAAAGATTTTATTTATTTATTTGACAGAGAGAGATCACAAGTAGACGGAGAGGCAGGCAGAGAGAGAGAGAGAGAGAGAGAGAGAGGGAAGCAGGCTCCCCGCTGAGCAGAGAGCCCGATGCGGGACTCGATCCCAGGACCCTGAGATCATGACCTGAGCCGAAGGCAGCGGCTTAACCCACTGAGCCACCCAGGCGCCCTGAACCTCTACAGTTCTTTATGTGGCTTCTCTTTGCCATTTGCCATGTTACTTTTTTATATTTTTTGCTTTTATATGTGTCAGGACACATAAATAGGACACATACCAAATGAATAAAAGCACCAGGAATACGGGTTTAAAACAAGACTTGAGAGATACAGGTGGCCATTTGAATAATCAGCTTTGGATAACTGAGCTCTTGTATCTGTCCACTTACTCATTCAACAAATATTTATCAAGGCTTCTATATGTCAGCTTGCTTTGTGCTAGAGGCACAGTGGTGAGCAAGGTAGACCAGGTCCCTGTTGTTAACAGAGATTACCCATTCACCTTTCTTACATTATTACAGATAAAGAATTTTATGCCAAGGAGAAACTGTAGGGAACATTAAACTCACTTTTCATTTTATAGGATAGGAGATTTAGCAGGTCTTTTTATTGAGGCCTATGTATGTAAAGTGAGAAAAAATTGAGTAACACTTTAATTTTATTGAAAAAAAGATAAAGTATTCCAAAAAATTAATAGGGCTGAAACTGGGTGACCTTTTTTTTTTCTTTCCTGAAACTTGGATGACCTTTTAATGAGTGTGTTCCCTTCACAGTTACATTGTGACTTGTGGAAGTGATGGTGATGTGAGGATTTGGGAAGACTTAGATGATGATGATCCTAAGTCCATTAACGTTGGAGAAAAGGCATATTCATGTGCTTTGAAGGTATTGAAAACATTTATAGCAAACCATGAGAAGTGATACTGCTGTTTGATATTTTATAAATGGGTAAAGAATATTTTTGTTGAAGTTTTGAATGTGCTTTTTGTTTCTCTTATAAAATCATACTACTCAAATGTGTACAATAATAAAAATTTCCCAAAATTTTTACAAGTAAAATCTGAATCTGAATGGGTTTAAAATCTGAATCTAAAATCTGAATGGGGGGCACCTGAGTGGCTCAGTTGGTTAAGTGGCTGCCGTCAGCTCAGGTCCTATTGGGATTGAGCACTGCATGGGGGTTCCTGCTTGGCAGAGAGCCTGCTTCTCCTTCTCCCTCTGCCTGCTGCTTTGCCTACTTGTGCTCCCTATTTCTCTGTCAAATAAATAAATAATCTTAAATAAAAATTTAAAAAATCTGAATGGTTTATTAAAGGTGATTAATGGTTTATTGATGGTAAACCAATTGAAATATTTGCAAGAGATTATACTTTTTCTTTTGATATTTAAATGTTCCCTTTATTTCCCTTTGAGAGAAAACTCCATGGCATTTTCAGGTTTTTAGTTCACTAATTTAGACAACCAATTACACTAGAAAAGAGGAATATTTTAACTTTTTCAAGACATATACATATTTCTAATGTTTTTGGTTTTTTTAAAAGATTTTATTTATTTATTTGCGAGAGAGAGAGACAGAGTGAGAGAGAGCATGAGAGGGGAGGCCAGTTAGCAATAATCGCGCCTCGAATAAACCTCATTGGCTACGATACTGCCACTGTGCAAAGCTGAGAGAGGGGAGGTCAGAAGGAGAAGCAGACTCCCCATGGAGCTGGAAGCCTGATGCAGGACTCAATCCCGGGACTCCGGGATCATGACCTGAGCTGAAGGCAGTTGCTTAATCAACTGAGCCACCAAGGCGCCCCTCTAATGTTTTATGTAAGGTAAATAGGGGAATGATATGTAGGTTATTTGGAGAATGGAGACATGTTTTCAGAAGACCTTTGCAAACTAAGTATCTAAAAACCACTAAGCTTTTTATTTGTGATGAATTTTAAGTTGAGTGTATTGTATCTGGGTAGAAAAAGGTATTTTCACAGAATTCATGTTTTTTTCAAACCCAGGCTCGTTAAGGTAGATGAATGAGATAGCTCAGGCTTAGATTGAGCCCTGTGTCAGGCTCCGTGCTCATCATGGAGTCTGCTTGAGCTTCTCTCTTCCTCCCTTCCCCTCCTGTGCATTCTCACGTGTGCTCTCTTTCTCTCTCTCAAATAAATAAATCTAAAAAAAAAAAAAATGGTCATATATAATGGAAAATATATTCCCAGAAGGAAAAATAGAAATGACCAACATATATTAGATATAAGTTAAATTTCACTAATAAGCAAAGAAGTACAAATTAAACAATTGAATTTTTTTTTCCTATCAGATGGGCAAGGGTGAAAAATATTGCTAATTCCAGTAATAGTGAGGGTTTGGAGAAGTAAGTATTTGTAAAGGAAGAACACTTTCCCATCTTTTTCCTTTATTCTCACACTACTACCTTCCTCATAACATTTCCAGCACCAGGTGTGTGGGTTTTTTCTCCTACACCAAGCAATTTTCTGTAATACTGGTTGGGTGTCCTACAGTTCAGTTCAATTTGGACACTGACAGGAGTGAGCACAGACCTTAGAGTTCAGGGGCTCAGTCCCATGAGACTGTCCCCCACTTCAGATAATAGTTGCAAGTATTAGGTCCCCACGTTACCCACAGCATCTGTCCTACTTGGCTATAAATCAGAGGTTCCCACGACCCCTTACTTGGAGTCAGTCTTTTGCTACAATAGCTCATAAAATTCAGGGAAACACTCCTGCCAGTTCATTATGTAGTGAAATATAGAGAAAGGATACAGGTGAACAGCCAGATGAAGAAGTATATAGGAAAGGTCTGAAAGGCTTTTTTTCCCCCCATGGAGTTGGGATCCTATGCCCTCCTATTAATGGGGATGTGTTCACCAACTGAGAAGCTCTTTGAACCCCATACCATTGGGATTTTATGGAGGCTTCATTACATTGGCATAATTGATTATTAATTGCATTTCCAGCCCTTCTCCCTTTCTTGGATGATGATGGCATAAGGCTGAAAGTTCTGTTTCTAATCATGGTTTGATTTTTCTGATGACCAGCCCTCATCCTGAAGCTATCCGGGAGCCCACCAAGAATTGCCTCCTTTGAAGGGTCTTTTCTATCACCCAGGAAATCTCAGGGGATTTAGGAGCTTGTGTCGGGAACTGGGATCAAAGACCAAATATTAGAGCAAAAGCTGCTCCTGGTATTCTTATCACTTAGGAAATTACAAGGGTTTTAGGAACTCTGCCAGGAATAAGAGGCAGAGACCAATATGTATTTTCTATTATTTTACAGTATTGCACAACAGTTGCTGGAAATGTAACTGGGGAGTTTTGTGGGGTTTTTTTGTTTTTTTTTGTAGGGGGAGGGGCAGGGGGAAGAGAGAGAGAATTTTAAGTGGGCCCCACTCAGGGCTCCATCTCATGAGCCTGAGATCATGACCTGAGCTGAAATCAAGTCCCCAGGTGTGCTTGGGGAGCTTTTTAAGAAGTAAATTGAGGAATGTTTGGGTGGCTCAGTGGTTGAGCTCCTCAGTAGGTTGACCTGCTTTTGGTTTCAGCTTGGTTCATGATCTCAGGGTTGTGGGATAGAACCCCATGACAGGCTTCGTCCTCAACAAAATAAGTCTTCTTGGGCCCCTTGGTGGCTCAGTCGTTAAGCATCGCCTTTGGCTTTGGTCATGATCTCAGGGTCCTGGGATGGAGCCCTCCATCAGGCTCCCTGCTTGGCGGGAAGCCTGCTTCTCCCTCTCCCACTCCCACTGCTTATGTTCCTTCTCTGGCTGTGTCTCTCTCTGTCAATTAGACAAATAAAATCTTTAAAACAAACAAACAAACAAACAAGAAGTCTTCTTGTCATACTCCCTCTGCTCCTTAGATGGACCTCCCTCCTCCCTCATTTGCACTCTTTCAAATTTAAAAAAAAAAAGGGAGTGAATTCATACTGTGTATAAAACATTAAATGCACGTAGTCATTTCTGGCTATTTACCTTGAGGAAATTCTTTTTTTTAGATTTTATTTATTTATTTGACACACAGAGAGAGATCACAAGTAGGCAGAGAGGCAGGCAGAGAGAGAGGGGGAAGCAGGCTCTCTGCTAAGCAGAGAGCCCGACTCGGGACTCGATCCCAGGACCCTGAGACCGTGACCCAAGCCGAAGGCAGAGTTCAACCCACTGAGCCACCCAGGCGCCCTCTTTTTTTTTTTTTTTTTTCTTTTTTTTTTTAAGATTTTATTTATTTGTCAGAGAGAGCACAAGCGAGGGTAGGGACAGGCAGAGGGAGAAACAGGCTTACCACTCAGCAGGGAACCTGACATGGGGCTTGATCCCACAACCTGGGATCATCACCTGAGTTGAAAGCAGTTGCTTAACTGACTGAGCCACCCAGGTACCCTTTACCCTGAGGAAATTATATTCCTTCTATTTGTGTGGTCAAGTATATTTTTTAAATTATTGTTTATAAGTTAGAACTGATTGAAGTGTCCTTCAGGAGAGAATTTATTTTGTAAAAATTTTTTTAAAGATTTTTATTTATTTATTTGAGAGATGGCAAGAGACAGCACAAGGGGGGGCGGCAAGAAGAGGGAGAAGCAGGCTCCCCGCTGAGCAGGAAGTCCAGCCGGGTCTGGGGCTGGATCCCAGGACCCTGGGATCATCACTGGAGCCGAAGGCTGATGCTTAACCAACTGAACCACCCAGACGCCTCTATTTCATAAATTTTAGTAGACCCATGAAATGTATTTTTATGTAGCCACAAAAAAAAAAAAAAGAGTGAGTGCTATATATCTTCATCCGCAAAGATATTTGCAATGAGTTGAAAAATGAAAGAGAGTTGCAGAGTAGTCTGTATTGTGTAGTCTTATGTTTAAGATAAAGGATACATATATACATAAATGTACATAAGAGAGTTAGAAAGACTTAACCCCAAAATGTTAGTGGAGATTATTTCATTAGAGTAGGGAAACTCATGCTTTGGCCAGAACAATTTGTTTTTTAATTTTCTTATACAGTATGTATGCACTGCATTATTGGTGTATGAAAAGACTGTAAAGAAGGAAAAAAAAAGTGGTCTTGTAATAGTTTCCTAGGGCAGCTGTAACAAATTTTCACAAACTCAATGGCTTAAAACAACAGAAAATTATTGTCTCACAGTTCAGAAGGCAAGATGCCTGAAATCAAGGTGTGGGCAGGGTTAACTCCAAGACCCTGAGAGAGAGTCTGTTCCATGCCTTTTTTCTAGCTTCTGGTGGGTTGCCAGCTATCCTCAGTGTTCCTTAGTTGGAAGATACATCACTCCAATCTCTGCTTCTATGTTCACATTGCCGCCTTCTCTGTGTCTCAAATCTCCTATCCATTTTCTTATAAGGACACCAGTCATTAGATTTAGATCCTTAACTTACTACATGTGCAAAGACCCTGTTTCTAAATAAGACCACATTCACAGGTAACTGGACTTAGGACTTAGGCATGTCTTTTGGGGGCCATTATTCAATCCACTACAAGTCTGATAGTCTGTGCTTAAATGTTTTCTTTGGCTTTAGGAATAGAGTTTATGGTACTTCATTGAAAAGACTTTACCACATAGCCATGGGAAGCTGAAAATTTTACAACAGATTTCCTTTTAAAATATAATTGCTTATAAATATACTTTCTGTTTTTGGAGTCATTCTGTTTTGGAGTCATTTGGGAAGTACGGTCAGATGTTTTGTTTGAGAACAAAGTGGAGAAAAATATCACTCTCCAAAAACAGTAAAAATGCGATGAATCAACTGGTAGTAATAGTTAAAGCTTGCATAGTATTTTACATTGTCAAGGCCTTTTAACAAAGATACGGGAAGTATGTGAAATTACCTCCATTTTATTCTTGGAAAGGTCAAAGCTCTGAAGAAGGTCAATTGACACTGTTGGTAAGGAACACAGTGGGCAGGGGTACCTGGGTGACTCCGTGGTTTAAAGCCTCTGCCTTCGGTCATGATCCCAGGGTCCTGGGATCGAGCCCCACATCGGGCTCTCTGCTCAGCAGGGAGCCTGCTTCCTCCTCCCTCTCTCTCTGTCTGCCTCTCTGCCTACTTGTAATCTCTGTCAAATAAATAAATAAATAAAAATCTTAAAAAAAAAAAAAAAAGGAACACAGTGGGCTGGAGCTCAAGTCAGCCTGTGCTTGGACCCATTCTTCTCAGTCTACTAGGGAGAAGAGTGATCTGACCAGATCCCCGATTCTTTTTGAGTGTTTTCTTTTTTTTAGCTTTACTAGTTGATAAAGAACTGATAATGATTTGGTTTCCCAGTAGATTTGTTGGAAATTGACTTCAAAGCACGTCCTTTATTCAGGTCTCTTGGGTGAGTAAGTATAGATATATACTTTAATATTTTCACATGAATAGAGGACCAGTTAATGGTTACCAGAATTCTTTACTAGATGTAACTGAGGATGCTTAGTTGGATTCCACTGAGAGATCTGTCTGCCAAGTAAAGCACAGCCAGGTTGCAAAATTCCTGTACATGCATACATATAGTTGATGTTTCTGCAGTTTTGCCAAAGAACAGGTAGCATCATGTGTTGTCTTGAGTTGGTTAGTTTTTCCTGAATTCTCTTCTTGTTTTCACATTTAAGTTATTGTTAGATTAGCTTCTGATAGATTTAGTGTATTGTGGATTGTTTAATTACTTGAACAATAGTTACAAAGTAGGCATAAACAGTTTTTTTCACCGATTTTCCAGTAATTGAAGATAAGTATATATTATAGTTCAAATCTGAGTCATCTGTACTGTTCCTTGAACAGATGTATACATCTTCCCCAATTTTCTATGTAGTAAAATGTCACTGTATTACCAAGTTCCTTTTCCATTGGAGTGAGAGCAGGTGTTGTAGACAAAGCAGAGGGTCTTACATGTGCAAATATGACTGAGACCTATTGCTGTATGATATTTATTAACAAACTTGAGCAATTTGTTTCTTTGGCAGTTACCATTTAATCTAAATGATTGATTATGATTTATTAGAGTATGTAAGGCATTGCTAGACAATGATTTAGTCTGTCAGGACTTAGTTCCTCCTAGAGAAGTAAGTAATAAAATTAAGGTTCTAGGGCAGATACTTGACCTTTTATGATTCTTAGCCAAAATCTATGCAGAGCATTGGTATCTGCTGATCATTTTCAGATCCTGAAAGTTTCTGTTCATTTAGTGTTTTTATTATTTTTAAAAAGGTTGTTTATATTTTTACTTCCAGTATAATTAACCTACAGTGTTATATTAGTTCCAGTTGTACAATATAGTAATTCTCAACCATTTTACACTGTTCATCATTATAAGTGTATTATTTTTAGGATCCTCCAATTCTGCTGTCTTCTTACTTAGTGTTTTTAAAGAGAACCCATGGATTCTGCATTTAGATTTTACTTACTCCAAAGATATCTGATGATTTTATTGTGGAAACACAGTGGCAATGCTGTAGTCCAGCCTTACCTTCTGATGTGCTGTTCCCTCACTGAGACTAGCTGTGTTTTTTTTTTCTGAAAAGCTCCCTTGAGTCTCTTTCCTGACACTTGGGGATGCATAAAAATACTATTTAAATAATTTTCTTGTCAGAAGTAAATGAAAATTCAGAGGCTAAAAATTTGGCTGATGAAGTGAGAATTAAATTGCGTAAAGGTAGTAAGTAAATTTTTTTTGCTAATAGGTACTTCAGGAAACTTGTACATTGAATGATGATTTTTCTCTTGACATTAACTACAATTATAAGCTTTTATGTTTTGTATAGGATTGCTAAGTATGGAGAGACTCAATTGATTAGGATTTTTTTTTGCCAATGTTTCTTTTAGAATGGGAAATTGGTCACTGCAGTATCTAATAATACTATTCAAGTCCACACATTTCCTGAAGGAGTTCCAGATGGTATATTGACTCGCTTCACCACAAATGCAAACCATGTGGTCTTTAATGGGGATGGTGGAAAAGTTGCTGCTGGATCTAGGTAAGGCCCTCTGATACCCGAAAAGGAAGTAGTATTAGAACAGAATGGCCTCATTCATTGGCTTCAGTGTAACATTTTCAGGACTCTGTCCCGTGTGTGTGTGTGCGTGCATGCGCATGCGGGGAGGGTGCTTAATTTTTTGTGGGGTGGGAGGGGCAGAGGGAGAGGGAGACAGAGAATCTTAAGTGGGCTCCATGCCCAGCTCAGAGCCTGATGTGGGGCTCTGTCTCACAATCCCGAGATCATGACCTGAGCTGAAATCAAGAGTCAGATGTTTAACTGACTGAGTCAACCAGGTACCCCACTTAATTTTTATATTCAAGTCTTTAGTAAAGGTTTTTGAGGGCAACCTTGTGCTTCTTTGTTAATTGAGATAGACTGCTTTGCAGACAGCCTGTTCAATAAATGCTGAAAAAGATTGGGGAAACATGATAGTTTGATACGAAATTTTAAAAATCATCTTGGGGGGACGCCTGGGTGGCTCAGTGGGTTAAGCCACTGCCTTCGGCTCAGGTCATGATCTCAGGGTCCTGGGATCGAGCCCCACATGGGGCTCTCTGCTCAGTGGGGAGCCTGCTTCCCCCCTCTCTCTGCCTGCCTCTCTGCCTGCTTGTGATCTCTCTCTCTCTTTCTCTGTCAAATAAATAAATAAAATATTTTAAAAAAATCATCTTGGGAAGAACTTCAATTGTCAGAATTTTTGTTGTTTCTCTTTATGCTTATTTGTCATATGAAAGAATGTCAAAGAAAGGAACTAATGAATTGCTGAGGGGAATAAAAGGCATAGTTTTTGTTTTTTTTTTTTTTAAGAATTTATTTATTTATTTTAGAGAGAGTGTGCACGAGGAAGGGGAGGGGTAGAGAGGGAGAGTGAAAAATCTCAAGCAGACTCCCTACTGAGCATGGAGCCCAACACAGGGCTGGATCCCAGGACTCTGAGATCATGACCTATGCCGCTATCAAGAGCTGGCTGCTTAACCAGCTGAGCCACCCAGATGCCCCTGACATAGTGCTTTTAAAAGTGGCTGTGACTTGGGTGCCTGGGTGGCTCAGTGGGTTAAAGCCTCTGCCTTCAGCTCAGGTCATGATCCCAGGGTCCTGGGATCGAACCCCGCATCAGGCTCTCCGCTCAGCAGGGAGCCTGCTTCCCCCTCTCTCTGCCTGCCTCTCTGCCTACTTGTGATCTCTCTCTCTCTCTCTGTCAAATAAATAAAAAAAAAATCTAAAAAAAAAAAGTGGCTGTGACTTAAAAATAAAAACGGTTGGGACTTTAATTAATTAATTAATAATAGAAGCTTAAGATGTAATGAAGGAAGCCACTTAGGAAGTATTTGTATTTTAAAGGGAAATCCTGAGTTGTGTTTTTAGTATCTTTACAGAGCCAAGATTAAAAAGTAGATCCTTAAATTTGGATGCCAAATTTAACATGTTGCTGTAAAGAAATTATGACATTTACTCTTGTGATTTTGAAATATTTGGGTCATAGATATAGGAGAGGTTTTTGCATGGGTATTTATTAATACTCTGTTATACATTACTCTTACTATTCATAGTGATTTTCTACTCAAAGTTGTGGATGTGATGGATTGCAGCCAACAGAAAACATTTCGAGGACATGATGCTCCTGTTTTAAGTCTTTCCTTTGATCCTAAGGACATCTTTCTGGTAATCATTTTTTCCATTTCTTCTTCTTTTTTTTTTTTCAGTATTTTTAAAATTATAAGGGAATTAGCAGAAAATTTCACACAGTTGATAAAAAGGCTATTTGGTTTATCAGTTTCACCAATTACCTTATGGTATTATGGCTGTAACCATACAGAAATTTATATTATTCTTGCAGGCATCAGCTAGTTGTGATGGATCTGTCAAAGTGTGGCAAATTTCAGATCAGGTAAACTTATCAATTTGAATTTAAAACTTTGTGCTCATTTCTGCCATAAATGTGATATTACATAGCATGGGGTCAAATTAATAATTCTTCTTCTTTATAGTTTTTTTTTTTTTTTTTAGAAGCATTGAGTACTGTTTTTGTGATCAAATCCTGTAATAACCTAATGTGAAAATGTGTTGAAGGGTAATTGTGTTTATACCCAATCACATGGGAAATAGATTTATATTTCAGTTTTAGGTTTTATAAATCAGTGGGGAAGAAAATCTGTCAGTATATATTTACTCTACTATGAACTACCATGTGTTGGGAAGTGGTCTCTGGATTGGCAAAGGGAACAATTAATTCTTCCTGAGGCATTCTAGAGATAATGTGGCTGATGAGGAAAGTATCCCCCACAGGGTATGCCTCAATAGCCACAGTTTTTTCCGCTCATGTTTGAACTGTTTTAAAGGGTTGACTTTGATACCTTAACATTTTATAGATTTCTTGACTTTATTTTTGTAGATGTTTTAAGAATTCAATGTATTGAGGTTTTTTTTTTTTCATGTGTGTATATACGTGTATTCAGTGAGTATATTGTTTGCTTATTCTGTATAGGAAATACACTTATTTAATTAAATATTTAAGATTTGTGCTTTTTATATCTCTGGATTATTTAAAGTAATTTAGGTCAATCATATATCATAGTTAGATGAAAGTGAATCAAGTTGCTTTTTTCATAGCTATATGTCAGTTGAAGAAAGCACCTCTGAAATACATTCCATTCTGCATATCTCTTTGGGAGAAGTTTCATAAAAGGAAATAAATTTTCTTTTTTAAAATATCAGACTTGTACTATTAGTTGGCCACTGCTACAAAAATGCAATGATGTGATAAATGCAAAATCAATCTGCAGACTTGCTTGGCAGCCAAAAAGTGGGAAGGTAAGTGACTCTTACTTTTCAACCTTTGTTTTAGTTACTTGTAGTTCTTGTCAACTTTGTTTTTGTTTTTTTTTTTTTGTTTTTTTTTAAAGATTTTATTTATTTATTTGTCAGAGAGAGAGAGGGAGAGAGAGCGAGCACAGGCAGACAGAATGGCAGGCAGAGGCAGAGGGAGAAGCAGGCTCCCTGACGAGCAAGGAGCCCGATGTGGGACTCGATCCCAGGACGCTGGGATCATGACCTGAGCCGAAGGCAGCTGCTTAACCAACTGAGCCACCCAGGCGTCCCATCAACTTTGAATATGAAAATAGTAGAATTCGTTTTTTAAATTGTAACTGTTTCATTTAGGTTGTAAGTTTTAGTGCCCCAAGCCAACCAATAAGTATTGAAATGCTTTAAGAAACGTTTTAACTTTGGGGGTGCCTGGGTGGCTCATTTGGTTAAAGTGTGTGACTGATGGTGTGGGCTTAGGCCTTGATTTCTCAGGATTGTGGGTTCAGGCCCTGGGCTGGGCTTCATGCTGGGCATGGAGCCTACTTTAAAAAAAAAGAAGGAAACATGTTAACTTTTAAAGGTTCTTTCTGAAGCATACAGTTTGTATGAGTTAATTTTATATTCTTTATTTTGTATATAATGGAACAACTCGGGAAAGTCTTGTTATGTCTACCTCTTACTAGTAGCATTTAACATTTTAGTAGCACCTGATAGACAACAGAAAGGTAGGAATTGTTTGAAAAGAGGATGGAGAATGCTCATTATTTACAAATGAAATGGTTGAATATAAGATCTTAAGAAATCAACTGAGGGAAAAATATTATTAGTAAGAAAACCCAGCAGGGTATTTGGAAATAAACTAATATGCAAACCCAGTAACAATCCTATATATAAAAAATAGCCATTTAGAAAATATGGTGGGGAGGGACGCCTGGGTGGCTCAGTTGGTTAAGCGGCTGCCTTCAGCTCAGGTCATGATCCCAGGGTCCTGGGATCGAGTTCCACATCGGGCTCCTTGCTCGGCGGGGAGCCTGCTTCTCTCTCTGTCTCTGCCTGCCACTCTGTCTGCCTGTGCTTGCTCGCTCGCTCTCTCTCTGACAAATAAATAAATAAAATCTTTAAAAAAAATAATTATTAGAAAATATAATGGGGAAAAATGGTGCATTTACTGTGAAATCAAAAAAGATGAAATAACAAGGGTAAACTTACCAAAATGTGAAAGGGCTGTATAATGAAAACTTTAATGTGCTATCAAGAGGAGTAAAAGAAGACTTAAATAGAAAAATATATTCCATTTTTAGAAGGGAATTTTCGATATAAAGATGTCAGTTCTTTCCTAAATTAAGCTATAGTTTAGAGAACATTCAAATGTGAAATATGAGTAAGATGTTTGAAGGGGACCGTAGAGCTGTTGTAAAATCCATGTGGAAAACAAAGTCTTAGAAAATAAAAATGTTGGAGTCTATTCTAGTCAGATACACATATTATGATGCTATGAGAATTAAAGGGTACCACTGAGTCATGGATAGATATCTATTAAACAGAGAAATAGATCCAGTATGTAAAGAGTTAGTTTATTGAAAGGTGGAGAAAAGAAGATTGAGTAAATATATTGGCAGAGAGTATGAATACCAGGAGCTGAGAATCTTTGAGAACCATCTTAAAGGCTTCCTACTACATGATGAATCATGTTTGCTATATAATTCTTTCAATTTTTCTGTGTATGTGAAATTTTTCAGAGAAGATTAATAAACTTGACAGTATAAAAAGCACACATTTTTGTATGAAATATTTCATTTTTTTTTTTAAGATTTTTATTTATTTATTTGACAGAGAGAAATCACAAGTAGGCAGAGAGGCAGGCAGAGAGAGAGGAGGAAGCAGGATCCCCGCTGAGCAGAAAGCCCGATGCGGGGCTCGAACCCAGGACCCGGGATCATGACCTGAGCCGAAGGCAGCAGCTTAACCCACTGAGCCACCCAGGCGCCCCTGTATGAAATATTTCAAAGAACGAATGACAAACTGGGAAAAATGTTTGAAACAATATGACAAAGAGCTAATTTTCTATTTATTTATTTATTTATTTACTTATTATTTATTCATTTGACAGAGCATACACAACTGGGGAGCTGCAGAGGGAGAAGGAGAAGCAGACCCCCCAGCTGAGCAGGGAGCCCGACATGGAGCTTGATCCCAGGACCCCAAGATCATGACCTGAGCCAAAGGCAGACACTCAACCAGCTGAGCCACCCAGGCGCCCCAAGAGTTAATTTTCTTAAAATTCAGAAAGTTCTTGTAAGTCGGGGCACCTGGGTATCTTAGTAGGTTAAGTGTCTGACTTTGGCTCAGGTCATGATCTTAGCGTCCTAGGATCAAGCCCTGTGTTGGGCTCCACACTTAATGGGGAGTTGGCTTGTCCTTCTGCTCTCCTCCCACTAATGTTCTCTCTCATACACTGTCTCTCAAATAAATAAACAGTCTTTTGAAAAAAAAAGTTCTTAAAAATCAGTAAGATCTGGGGTGCCTGGCTGGCTCATTTGTAAGAGTATGTAACTCTTGATCTCAAGGTTGTGAGTTTGAGCTCCACGTTGGGTGTAGAGATTACTTAAAAGTAAAATCTTCGGGGCACCTGGGTGGCTCAGTTGGTTAAGTGTTGTGTTGCTCAGGTCATGATCTCAGGGTCCTGGGATTGAGGCTCACAATGGGCTCTCTGCTCAGTGGGGAGTCTGTCCCTCAGCCTGTCTACCCCTGCTTGTGTTCTCCCTCTTTCCCTGAAATAAGTAAATAAGATTTTTGAAAAATAAATAAAAATAAAATTTTTCCTTCTTTTTTTTTTTTTTTTTTTTTTAAGATTTTATTCATTTATTTGACAGAGATACAGTGAGAGAGGGAACACAAGCAGGGGGAGTGGGAGGGAGAGAAGCAGGCTTCCCACTGAGCAGGGAACCCGATGCGGGGCTTGATCCCAGGACTCTGGGATCATGACCTGAGCTGAAGGCAGACGCTTAATGACTGAGCCACCCAGGTGCCCTAAAATAAAACCTTTAAAAAAAAACAAAAACAAAAAAAAACCAAGTTGGTAAGATCCTAATAGAAAGATGGTCAAGGCCATGAACTTGCAGTGTATAGGAAAAGATAATACAGATGACTTTTGACATATGAAAGTATATGCAACCTTTCATACCAAAAGAAATGCAAATTTAAACTATTGTGATAGCCTGTTTTTCATTTATCAGATGTCCAAACATCAAAAGTTTGATTTTATACTATGTGGAAATAGGTGTGGCAGTTTTTATCAGAATGAACAGTACTAGTTCTAGGCATAAATCCTGTAAGCATATTTATATATATGCACTGCAGGGTATATATAATGAAAATAGGATTTAGGGATGGGAGGGAGACTTTCTTTTAATGTATGCCCTTTGTAGCATGTGCACTCTTAAGACTACTACATTCTGCGTTAAAGTGATAGTTGAGGAATTTTGTGTTTATTTTTTTTTTTTTGCTCATGAAACATTAATTAAAAATCAATACAGTTAACATAGTTTTTCTGTTCATAAATAATATAGTTTTCTCTTTTTTGTATAAACATGGAAAGAATATATGGTTTTTATTCTGTTAGTCTGTTCTTTGGAAGAATGTCTAAGAAAATCAGCTTCCTTTTCTCAATATATTTAAAGCATTCTGGATCTGTTTCTTTCCTTTTGGCAAATGAGGTAGATGTTTAGATCCAAAGGGCTTAGATTCCTGAGAAGTAGTATCAAAAATATGTAACTATAAGTGCTCTGGTTGTCAGTGCAAGCAAAAGAGTGATCACTCATTTTTTGCTTATCAAATTTTTAAGTAATTTTCAGAATTTTGTTAGTTGCCAAATAAAGTACAATTTTGTTTTTATGTTTTGTAGTCTTATTTGGATGATTTTTTTTGCTTTTTTTCTCTCTAATTTAATGTAAACTTTTGTTTAAATCATTTGTCTTTCCTAATAGTTGCTGGCAGTTCCTGTGGAAAAGTCTGTTAAGCTATATAGAAGAGAAACGTGGAATAATCAATATGATCTTTCAGACAGTTTCATCTCTCAGGTAGGTTTTTTTTTTTTCCCCCCTCAGGTAGGTTTTATAAGTGAAACTTTGATTAGGCTAGCAGGAGTATTACACTTTGCCTAAATATAGTTGTAGTGAAGTACTGTTAGACATGGAGAACAACTCCAGATTGTTGTGCATGTGTCCACCTTTTGCCCCCTCAGCCTCTCTTCATTTAGCCGGTAACTGGACAGTAAATAGGTCTTTGTTAGGTCCTGTGTGAACTCTTTCCTTGTGGAGAAAAACAAATTAAGATTTCATTTTTATTTATTTGTCAGAGAGAGAGAGCACAATCAGGCAGAGGCACAGGGAGAAACAGGCTCCTGTTGAGCAAGGAGCCCGATGCAGGGCTCAATCCCAGGACCCTGGGATCATTACCTGAACCGAAGGCAGCCACTTAACGGACTGAGCCACCTAGGCATCCCTCCTTATGATATTTGATAAGAAAATCTCTTAATTTATAAGAAGTCATATTTAACCCTAACATAATATTAGAACATGTTATTTTCACATCATCAGTAATTAATTAGCCTTTATTGTTTAGTGAGTTTCATTGAGACTTGTGATCATAGACTCTGAAATGTTAGGGCAGGAAAGTTTATTGTTCTATATTCTCTCTCTTTTTATTATATGTTCCCATTTGTCTCTCAAGGAAACAAGATGCCCAGTAAGTCAGCAATGGCTTAATATGGTTCACTTCACTCACTATGGTTCTCTTCATCTTGAAAGGGACGGTTGTGAGGGTACTTTTTATGATCTGTATTCTAGGATAATAACAGTTTTTAGATTTTGCTTTTAAAATTGTGTCAATATAATTTTCTTTTGGTAAACAAAGTAATAGCTGCTAGTGATAGTTAAATATTACTGAAAAAGAAATTTAGAAAGTCTTGCCAAACTGTCCTGCCTTTATGAATCAGTTTAATTAGAAGTTACACAGAATATGGGTTGTAAAAATTTGAATTTGGTAATAAAAATAAGTGTTTAGTTTTGAATTGTGCAGATTGTTATTTATTCATTGTTTTTCCTCATAGGCCCTAAATATAGTAACCTGGTCTCCCTGTGGGCAATATTTAGCTGCAGGGAGTATTAATGGTTTAATTATAGTTTGGAATGTGGAAACCAAAGATTGCATGGAAAGGTATGATTCAACATATCTTTTGTCCTTTTTTTTTTTTTTTTCCCCCAACTAATCTCTATACCCAGTGTGGGGCTCAAACTCACAACCCTGAGATCAAGAGTTGGATGCTCTACTGACTGAGCCAACCACACACCCCCCCACCTTTTTGGGTTGTTTTTTTTTATTTTTGTTTTTTTGCTCATTTCTATTAGATTTTTTGTTTTATTATGAAGCATTTCAAATTTTTGCAATCATTAGACTGTCAGAATACAAACATACAGTATATAGTTATTAGTTTGTCAGAAGTCATTTAACCTTTCTAATTAAAATTAACCTAAAGCAATGTATAGTTTATATACTTTGGTACTGTTTTAAGAACTCACTTTTTAATTTTTAGGGTGAAACATGAGAAGGGTTATGCAATCTGTGGCCTGGCATGGCATCCTACTTGTAGTCGAATAGCTTATACTGATGCAGAAGGAAATCTAGGGCTTCTGGAGAATGTTTGTGAACCCAGTGGAAAGACATCAAGCAGTAAGGTAACAAGTAATAAATAGATGGTGGAATAGTTTCTTCAAAGTCTTTTGTTGTCATATGGGTTTGGAAAACACCACAAAATACATTACTTTCTTGGAAAATAACAATTCATGTTATATTAGATGTTCAGTAATTACCTGTCATAAAGAAAACTGTTTTTAAACTTGTTTGACCTAATGCTTCCTAAATATATTTTACTGAGAAACTTTTCCCCCGTAGAATGCCTATTAATATTCTTTGGCTTTATAAAGAATACCACTGTGAAATACTATTTTAGTATCCTGGTTTTCTGGAGGTTGTTATTTAAATAAATATAGATAAAAATTAGGGTTAATAAGTATAACTTAGTTTAGCCTGTAGACCTTTACTGCTCTGAATTAGCTTTAACTCTTAGAGCTACCCTTATATCTCTTAATGGTTAGCCATCTGGCCTTACTGAACTGCTTTAAACAGGCCACCTTGTTTTATACAACTCCTTATTTTTGTTTGTTATTCCTCCTACATGGCAAATATACCCAGTCTTATTTTAAGTCTTGGTTTAGGGTTCCAGTTAAAGATCATTTACTTAAACCCCCCCCCCCATTTATGTCTACTCGGATACTGATACTGGAACCCCTGGAAAATAGAAGCGTGATGGGAAACTTAAGTTTAGTTTCTCAAAAAGTCGAAAAATTGACTCCTAAAACCATAGTTGGGGGAAAGCAGAGATGCAATTTAGACTGCCTGCCTGAAATAGTATTTCACTGCCTGACTGAATCCCCCAATGATTTCAGAATTTGGTAGCACTAGACACATCTAAAAGTGGGGCTATAAACAGAAGGTTGGTTTAATAAACAAGTAGATATCTCCAATCTCACATTAGTGTGCATACGTAGGTAACTGCCTTCTCTCACTGCCATGTATATTCTGGCAGAATGCTGGAAATTTGTTCTCTAGAAAAGGTAAAACAGAGGTCTTTGGTTAGTGCACTGGGTACAGTTGAGCAGCATTGGGTGGTGGAGGAATACTGTACTGAAAAGGATTAAATGAAAGTGTATATACTTAGATGTTAAAATTCCCAGCCTATTTTTCATAGTTGGCTCCTATGGCATTGTCAGCTTGTCTAACTTAGGCTTTTCAGGCAAGAGATCGGAAGAATTGTCTCTGGGGAATCTGTCCAAGAAAAAAGCTTAAAGAGAGAGGATTCTTAACTCCAGGAAAAAAAAATTACAAAAGGAAGGAAAAGTGATCATAATATGCCACATTTATAAAATGAGGATGGCAATAATGTCTACCATGTAGAGTTTTATTGTGAGGATTATATGAATTATGTATAGAATTAGAAGGTCTCTAACACAACACTTTATAAGTTATAGTCAACCATGAATAGCTCTTAGTAATTTTATTCAACCATGAAGATCATCTATATGGTCATAATAATCTATATTGGGAGGATTGGAGTAGGAGAATAATGTACATACATACAAGAGAATAGGGGTGGTTGAAAATTACACCAAATCCTCATATTTCCTAATATACAGAAGTTAATAGAATCTATTTAATAGATAATGATTAAAACTGAAAAGCCAAAAAAATAGCACTAGAATATTATTTAAAACTATGGAGGAAATTATCAAAAGAATTGTCTAAAAGAATAGAAAAGTAAGTTGGAGGCTGTGCAGGAGGACTATTTTCATTTTTATAATAAACCTTGTAACTGACTAATTTATATGCATGTGTAACACTGATAAAAATGAAGTACATTGTAAAACAGCTTTTAGTTCAAAGGTCACCTCTTATAAAACCTTAACCCTTAATTGCTCACTCTTTTCTTTTTTGCTTTTATTCTTCATAGTACATATTCCTATCATAATACCTCTAATACTTTATGGACCTCATTGTAAGTATAAGGCAGAAGTCCTTTTTTTTTTTCCCCCCAGTGTTCCAAGATTCATTGTTTATGCACTGTACCCAGTGCTCCACACAATATCTGCCCTCCTTAATACCTACCACCAGGCTCACCCATCCTTCCCACCACTCCCTTCCAAAACCCTCAGTTTGTTTCTCAGAGTCCATTGTCTTTCATGCTTCATCTCCCCCTCCGATTTACCCCAATTCACTTTTCCTTTCCTTTTCCTGATGTCCTCCATGTTATTCCTTATGCTCCACAAGTAAGTGAAACCATATGATAATTGACTTTCTCTACTTGACTTCTTTCCCTCTGCATAATCTCCTCCAGTCCCGTCCATGTTGATAGAAAAGTTGGGTATTCATCCTTTTTGATGGAGGCATAATACTCCATTGTATGTATGGACCATATCTTCTTTATCCATTCATCTGTTGAAGGGCGTCTTGGCTCTTTCCACAGTTTGGCAACTGTGGCCATTGCTGCTATAAACATTGGGGTACATATAGCCCTTCTTTTCACTACATCTGTATCTTTGGGATAAATACCCAGTAGTGCAATTGCAGGGCCATAGGGTATCTCTATTTTTAATTTTTTGAGGAATCTCCACACTGCTTTCCAAAGTGGCTGCCCCAACTTGCATTCCCACCAACAGTGTGAGACTGTTCCCCTTTCTCCACATCCTCTCCAACACTTGTTGTTTCCTGTCCTGATAATTTTGGCCATTCTCACTGGTATAAGGTGGTATCTCAATGAGATTTTGATTTTAATTTCTCTGATAAAATTCCTCATTTTTTAAAAAGAAAATCCAAAAAAAGTTTTTAACCCAAGTGAGTATGTAAACTTCTAAGACTAAAGATAAAATAGTTAAATATTAAAAAAAAAAAAAACCAAAACCTTCCTAGAGCATTTAGTTCTTAATTATTACTTTCAGATCATATGTTTAAATATAAGAGTTTAGAAGCATTTTTTTATTTCTGTTCTCTCCTTTCATTAAACATTAGTTCTCTAGAACACAATTTTATGTATTTCCATCTAAAAGATTTGTGATAAAGTCTTTTTGAATCTGTTGATGGTGCTCTCATTAGAATTTTATACCAGGGGCGCCTGGGTGGCTCTGTCATTAAATGTCTGCCTTCGGCTCAGGTCATGAATCCAGCATCCTGGGATCGAGCCCCACTTTGGGCTCCTTGGCGGGAAGCCTGCTTCTCCCTCTCTGGCTTCCTTCCTCTGCTTGTATTCCCTCTCTTACTCTGTCAAATAAATAAATAAAATTTAAAAAAAAAAAGAATTTTTACCAAACTATAAGTTTCCATTGGCTTAACATTTGTACAGTTATACAGTTGTAAAAAAAATTGTTATACAATAACAAATGTATTGAACATTTGTACATTCATTTATACTATGGAAGTCATCTGTGAGCTCTACAGTGTATCTGCTTAGTATTCTTTTTTTTTTTTTTTAAGATTTTATTTATTTGAGTGTGAGAGCATGAGCAGAGGGAAGGACAGAGGAAAAAGCAGACTCCCTGCTGAGTAAGGAGCCAGACAGGAGGCTTGATCCCAGGACCCTGGGTTCATGACCTAAGCTGAAGACAGGCACTCAACCGACTGAGCCACCCAGGTGCCCACTATTCACTTTTTAAAGTGATCTCATGGGCTTTCTGAGTCAGTAGGGCATGCATCTCTTGATCTCAGGGTTGTGAGTTCAAGCCCCTCATTGGGCATGGAGATTACCCAACAAATATAGTAATGTGATCTAAAAAACTGTTTACAGTCATCTGGGATCTACAAAGGTAGATTCTACATCTACAATGTTCATATTCCTAGGAATCAGGGATTAGTGTTGAATTTCCTTGCTTCCTTTGTCTGTTGGTTCTATCCATTTACTTTTATAAGCATCAAAAAACCCACAAAAAAACTAGCTTTAACTGAGATCATTGAAAGCAATTTTATACTACCTAAGCAGTATAAAATCAATTTAATAAAAGTAAATGAGAGAATCTTATAATAAAAGAGATTTTATAGGGACTTTAGGTGACTTCTCTGGAGAATGACCTTTGAGGAGTAAAATCTTGCCTTGTATTTGGGTATATACAATAGTTCTTTACATACCTGTCCTATACTCCTGTCCCATCCTTAGTCTGTAAGGCACTTAAAGTAACGACTAGTTCTCACATAAATATAAATCCAGTCCTCGTAAGTACATTTATTCTTGTCAGGTATGTTTGCTACATGGTAGAATGTACAGGTGTGTATTACAGAATTGCCTTTTGAGTAAAGGAGTCTATCTAAATAGTTCACTGATACTTTGTAATTTGTGTTAATTTGTTCAAGGTATCTAGCAAAGTGGAAAAGGATTACAATGATATTTTTGATGGAGATGATGCAAATAATGCTGGTGATTTTCTAAATGACAATGCAGTTGAGACCCCCTCTTTTTCAAAGAGGATTATAAATGATGAGGAAGAGGATGATGACCTCATGCTGGCCTCAGGTCGTCCTAGACAACGAAGTCACATCCTAGAAGATGATGATAATTCAGTTGGTATGTGTTGATTTTGTGGATATGATTGTGCATCCCATTGATTGATCTTTACAATTTTTTATTGAAAAGTTTTTTTATTTGAAGTCTTTATTAAATTTACAGAATGTAGCTAATGCAGTGTACAGAGGGAAATGTGTAATATTAAATACTTGGGGGCACCTGGGTGGGTTAAGCCTTTGCCTTTGGTTCAGGTCATGATCCCAGGGTCCTGGGCCCCACATCGGGCTCTCTGCTTAGCAGGGATCCTGCTTCCTCCTCTCTCTCTGCCTGCCTCTCTGCTTACTTATGACCTCTGTCTGTCAAATAAATAAACAAAATCTTTAAAAAAAAAAAATACTTGTTAGGTTTCAAATCAATGATCTAAGCTTCTGCTTTAGCAAATTAGAATATTAAGAGGAAATTAAACTCTATACTATCAGAAAGAAGGAAATAAACAATTCAATGATATTGACAACCAAAAAACTATAAAGAAAGTCAGTGAAACCAAAAACTAGTTCTTTAAAAAGATTGGTAAAGTTGTTGAATCTCTATCCTGACTGACCAGAAAGGAAAAGAAGACCCAAATGACTAATATAAGTGATGAAAGGGGACTTATCACCATAGATCCTATAGACCTATACTATCCAGTGTGGTAGCCACTAACTACCTGTGGCTATTGAGCATTTGAAATGTGGCTAGTTTAAAATGAGATGTGTTGTAAGTGTGAAACGCAACCAGATTTTGAAGAGAGTATGAGAAGAGTGTAAAATATTTTAGTCCTTTTTTACATGAGTATGTGTTGAAATTATAATGTTTTAATATAGGATAATATTAAAATTAATTAGACCTGGGTTTTTTTTTTTACTATTTAAAATACGGCTACTAGAAAATTTGAAATTATACATATAATTCATTTCTATAAGATAGCACTGCTATTAATAACAGAATAAAGGAGAATGTTATGAACAACTTTGTGCCCATAAATGTAACAACTTTAATAAAATGGATGATTCTTTGATATAAGCTACCAAGCTAACTCAAGAAATATGTAACCTGAATAGTATAATATCTGTTAAAGAAATAGAGATAACAACTTAAAGAACCCTTTAGGGGTGCCTGGGGGGCTCAGTTGTTAAGCATCTGCCTTCGGCTCACGTCATAATCCCAGAGTCCTGGGATGGAGGCCCACATCAGGCTTCCTGCTCAGTAGGAAGCTTGCTTCTCCCTCTCCCACTTCCCCTGCTTGTGTTCCCTCTCTCGCTGTCTCTTTCTCTGTCGAACAAATAAATAAAATTAAAAAAAAAAATTATAAAGTGCCTGTTGCAACAACTTATATGCTAAAATAGCACATTTAACATTATCAAATAAATGTATCATTATCAAATAAATGGCATTATCAAATAAATGCTAAATACCATTTTATGGTGGTAAATTGTGCTACATTTAAATCATACGGGTTTTATACAACAGAGGTCCTCAAATGTTTGATCTCAGGAGTTCATTACATTCTTAAAAACATTTGAGGATCTCAAAGAAAATTATTTGTGGAGTTACATCGTTATTTACCATGGTAGAAACTAAAACTAAGAAATTTTAAAAATATTTACTTTTAAATAACAATAAACTCATTTATGTATACATAATAATGTTTCAGATGAAAAAGTTTCATAAGAAAATTGGCATTATTTTATCCTTTTGAAAATTTCTTTAATGTGTAGCATAGAAGATGACTTGAATTCTCTCATATGCCTCAGAGTTCAGTCTGTTTGCCATATATGTTGTTTTTATTTGACATATGTATAGAGTATTCAGGCTCACATGAACATGTAGTTTGTAAAGGGAGTATTTTAACAGCCTGTTGAAATACTTCTAGATAGTCTTCTTTGCTACTGTACCAAAAACTCAACTTACTTGCAATGTGGAATCCAGAAACTCCAGTGAATATTCCAGCTGTATTACATTAAAATCCATTGGTCTGACTTGAATGAATCTTTTAATTTACCATGTTTGATTTTGAAATATATGCATTGGTAATTTGGAAAATATTGGTTCACTATAGGTCTGCAGGTCTTTTAATTTTGACACTATTATCCAGTATCAGTATCATCACCAATCTCATCAGAAGTTTTTAAATATTAGGAAGCAGTCAAGCTCATGGTGGCAGGTACAAGTTTTCTAATTTTTTTTTTTAAAGATTTTATTTATTTGAGAGAGAGAGAGAGAGAGAGATCACAAGTAGGCAGAGAGTCAGGCAGAGAAAGGGGGAAGCAGGCTCCCTGAGCAGGGAGCCCGATGTGGGGCTCAATCCCAGGACTCTGAGATCATGACCTGAGCCGAAGGCAGAGGCTTAACCCATTGAGCCACCCAAGTGCCCCATTTTTTAATATTCTGGTTTTTGCTTGAAAACTCAAATTTTATCATTGACAACAAATTCTGTCAGTTATTTTTCTTAAATGATCAACTTCATTTATTTAAAGAAAATGTTTACCAAATACCAAAGACTGCATAGCCATAGTTTATTTGGCATTCTTTCAAGTATAAATGGTGTTCTGTGAAAAAATCAATTAGTTCAGCTTACAACTCAATTGCACAAATGCTTTTTTTTTTTGAGACGGACATCACTCTTTATGCACACTTCCTATTTTAGCACAAAGAACATTTTTTAAAAAATCTATGTTGGATCAAGATTCAACAGAATTAATATTTTTACTGCAATTGAGTGGTGGTTAACAATGAATTGACTACTAATACAGATTGGTGCCACTGCCACACCAACAGTTTTACCCTCTATTGTTTTGTACCATCACTGTAGATGTTAACATAGTAGAAGAGGCAGATAGCATGTTAGTATTATTAAATATGAATGGAAAAGTTTATTTAGATTTCATAATGCTTTCCTTTTTCTAGATCATTGGTATTTATGATTCTCTAAGTATGATTTTTTATTTTCTAGATGTTACCATGTTAAAAGCTGGTTCTAGTCTTTCCAAAGAGGAGGAGGAGGATGATCAGGCCAACAGCATTCATAATCTACCACTTGTAACATCCCAAAGGCCGTTTTATGATGGGCCAATGCCAACTCCCCGGCAAAAGCCATTCCAGTCAGGTTCTACTCCCATGCATCTCACGCATAGGTTCATGGTAAGCCTTGGATCTACATTTAACTTTAAAATAGTTTTATTTAACTCTTTAAACTGTAAGTGTTTTATCTCACTATAGTTAATTTTGTTCGGTACAAAATATTTTTAAAAACCTTGATTAACTGGCCAAAAGCACTTTGGTTCATTATAATTTTGTGGTTGATTTATTTTATGGTTAACTTACAGTTTTAACCTTATTTCAACCTTATTATTGGAAATCACGTTAAATAAAATTCTGCTTTGCAAAAAAAAAAAAAAATCTGCTTTGCAAAGTGACATAATGAACATAATGCGACTATGTATCTTACAATATCTCGATTGTACTTCCAAACTTTATTTCTCATATTTTTATATAGAAGTTTATACTGATTCCAAAACAGTGGTTAGAAGGTATTTTTTGAAGGCAGCTCCTAATATAATATATTAGAAGGTGATAAGTACTATGGAAAACAAACTATCTGCCTCTTTTCCCCACCCCATCCCACTGGAATATAAACTCCAGAAGGATAAGAAATTGTTTTTGTTTTGTTTACTGATAGCACTTAGAACAAGGTATGGCACAGTAGGCATTAAGAATATATTTCCTAAATGGATGAATGAATATATTAGCTTTTTGTTCTGAGAACTAAAAAGTTTAATATTTTTATTTATTTGAGGCTTTCCACTGAGGACTTTGCCTCTTGTCCTTTTTGAAAGGATAGGCCTGGCATAAGTTTGTATGTAAATACTAGAAGTGATGTTTTATTTTAATAAAACTTTTTGTTGGTATCCGTAGTCATCATCAAGTAATAGGTCTTAATTTCTTGTTGTTACATATTTTATTTATAATTCTTTATAGTAGAGGAAAGTGTGAGCCTGTAGTATATATGGGTGGAAGATAAGTTTTCTAAATGGTATTGGTTTATGTTTAATGGTATTGGTTTATGTTGCCTTAAAATGTATATATTTATTCCTACAATATAAAGCAGTTAGTTGGAGCAGGAAAATATGCTGTCATTTATATCCATATTTATAAGTAAGTAAATTTTTGAAATATTTCTGTTGGGGAATTTAATAGTTTGGTTGTTCAGAATTGTATTTTTTTATGGCAGTCATGTAATTTTTAAAATATTAAATGAAATATTCCAATTGCTACTAAATATTTATGTGCCTTCTCATGAAAAGAGTAGGTAGTAGTTGTAGTTCTGATGTCACTACTCTTAACTTGAAACTATTTAAAGGTGATTAAGCTGTGTTTGCTCCCATAACTTCAATTTCAATACAGACTGAATTATAATATTTATTAATTTGTACTACTTTAGTCCACTGATTCTAGGACCTTTAATTTATCTCAGACTTGTATTTAATCTTAATGTTTGTAGGTGTGGAACTCTGTTGGAATTATTCGCTGCTATAATGATGAGCAAGACAATGCCATAGATGTGGAGTTCCATGATACCTCCATACACCACGCAACACACTTATCAAACACTTTGAATTACACAGTAGCAGATCTATCTTATGAAGCTATTTTGTTGGCATGTGAAAGTACTGATGAACTAGCAAGGTAAATTCCAGATTATTAGGAAGAATTTGTCACTGCTGGATTGTTAGATACAGAAGAGTTTCATACATAATACCTTAGAACATGTCTCTTTTTGCCTAATTGTCCTGTCCTTTACAGTCTCTAACTCCAAATCAGGATGACATGGGGCATCTGGTTTACAGTCTCTAACTACAAATCAGGATGACATGGGGCATCTGGGTGACTCAATTGGTTTAGGCATCTTACTCTTTTTTTTTTTAAGATTTTATTTATTTATTTGACAGGAAGAGAGAGATCACAAGTAGGCAGAGAGGCAGGCAGAGAGAGAAGGCGAGGCAGGCTCCCTGCTGAGCAGAGAACCCGACATGGGGCTCCATCCCAGGACCCTGAGATCATGACCCGAGCCGAAGGCAGAGGCTCAACCCACTGAGCTCCCAGGCGCCCCTAGGCATCTTACTCTTAATCTCAGCTCAGCTCTTGATCTCAGGGTTGTGAGTTCAAGCCTTGCATTGTGGGGGGGCAGGGGAAATGACATGATACAATTAACAATTTATAATTGCAAGAGAAATTAAAGAGTTAGATAAAACATTGTTACTCTGTTTCATTACTATTGTAAGATATATATGATGTATAGATGTATATAATATGGTATATTATATAATTATCTCTAATTGCTTATATATTATAGACATAATTACATAATATTTAATATATATATTTTAAACAGACAAGCAGTACAGGATTTTTAGGAAATAAAAATCCCCCCAGAATTCTACTTTCAGATATAACCACTGTTAGCAATTTGGTATGTATCCTTTCTAGATTTCTTTTTGTACAAACCCCTACCCCCTTTTTAAATTTACTTTATTAGTGTAATTCATGTATAATAAAATGTACTTCTTAGGTATCCAGTTTAGTGAGTTTAACGAATGTGTAGGTATCAACTGTCACAATCAAAATTTTTTTTCTTAATTTTTTAAAAACTTTTTAAATTCATTTAATTAACATATATGTTTTTGGTTTCAGAGGTACAGACCTGTGATTCATCAGTCTTATATAATACCCAGTACTCATTACATCACATGCCCTTCTTAGTGTTCATCACCCCAACCTCATACCTTCCAGCAACCCTCAGTTTGTTTCCTATTATTAAGAGTCTTTTATGGTTTGTCTCCCTCTTTGGTTTCGCCTTGTTTTATTTTTTCCTCTCCTCCCCTATGATCCTCTGTTTTGCTTCTTAAATTCCACATTTTTTAATAATTTTTTTAAAAGATTCTATTTATTTATTTGACAGACAGAGATCACAAGTAGGCAGAGGGGCAGGCAGAGAGAGAAGGGGTAGCAGGCTACCTGTTGGAGCAGAGAGCCTGATGTGGGCTCAGAAAATCAGAGCCTCGATCCCAGGACCCTGAGATCATGACCTGAGCCGAAGACAGAGGCTTAACCCACTGAGCCACCTAGGCGCCCCTTAAATTCCACATTTCAGTGAAATCATGATAATTGCCTTTCTCTGATTGACTTATTTCGCTTGGCATAATACACTCTGGTTCCATCCTCATCATTGCAAATGGCAAGATTTCATTTTTCGATGGCTGCATAATACTCCTGTGTGTGTGTGTGTGTGTGTGTGTGTCTACATTTTTTTTTTTTTAATTTATGTATTTGTCATAGAGAAAGAGAAAGAGAACACAGGCAAGGGGAGCAACAGGCAGAGGGGAAGCAGGCTCCCCACTGAGCAAGGAGCCCAGTGTGGAATCATGATATGAGCCAATGGTAGACGCTTAACCAACTGAGCCACTCAGGTGTCCCTATACCACATCTCCTTCATCTATTCATCTGTCAATGGACAGCTCGGCTCTTTCCATAGTTTGGCTGTTGTGGACATTGCTGCTATATTTTTAAGTAATCGTGTAGGGCTCAAACCATAACCCCAAGACCAAGAGTCACATGTTGTACCAACTGAGTCAGCCAGTTGCTCCTCAAAATATTTTTTATCACTCAAAAATATTCCCTTGTATCCCTTTGCAGTTAATACCAGTCTTGGACAACTACTGACCTGGATTTTTTTTCTGTTTTTTGGGTTTTTTTGTCATTATAAATTAGAATTGAAACTTCTTTTTTTCTTTAATTTTTTATGTAAATTTTTTAAAGATTTTATTTATTTATTTGACAGACAGAGAGCACAAGTGGGCAGAGAGGCAGGCAGAGAGAGAGGAGGAAGCAGGCTTCCCGCTGAGCAGAGAGCCCGATGCGGGGATCGATCCCAGGACCCTGGGATCATGACCTGAGCTGAAGACAGAGGCTTTAACCCACTGAGCTACCCAGGCACCCCGAACTGAAACTCCTTTTTAAAAAGGGAGGGGGCAGAATGATATTTGGTAAGTAGATACATAGACAAAATTAGGATGGAAAAGCAATGGAATGCTGAATCCATCCATATTTTTTTAAAGAAGAAAAAATATTTTTATTCATCTTTCTGTTATTTCAGCCAGATTGCCTTTTCCTGATTTTTCAGCTGATTTTAATGCTTATACACTTGATTATAGGTTTTACCAACTCTGAGGTGATTCAAAATTAAAATCCTGATCGGATACATTAGCTTCTTGCTGCTCTAAGTGTGGCCCGCAAACTAGGAGCATGGGTCACTCGGAAGCTTGTTGAAAACAGAATCTCAGACTCCACCCCAGACCTAAATCAGAATCTGCATTTTAATGAGATCTACAGGTGATTGAGTTTGTATTAAAGTCTGAGAAACATATCTTAACATTTTAATTGGTTTCCTAATTTACACATTGTAAAATCCACTCACTACTTCATTATTTTTTTCAATATTTCATTATTGAATTAAATTAGTACACTAAAATAAACCACTGTTGACTCTGTCTCCAACTCAGAGTCTTAACATAATTAGAACATTTGTTTCCATGTGCAATTTTGATTTCAGATATCTTTCCCTGTTTTCCTGGATATGTTATTTCATAGCTATATACAATGTGACTTTTCATTTTAAAATTGAATTTAGAGGTGCCTGGGTGGCTCAGTTGGTTAAGTGTCTGCCTTTGGCTCAGGTCATGATCCCAGGGTCCTGGGTTTGAGCCCCGCATCAGGCTTTCTGCTGAGCAGAGAGTCTGCTTCATCCTCTCCTTTTGCCACTTACCCCCACTCATGCACTTGCTCTCTCTTTCTCTCTCATATAAATAAATTTAAAAAAAAAACAGAATTTTAAATTACTCTTCAGAAAATCAGTACTACCTCTGTTTCCAAATTCTATAGTATCTGTATTCCCAAACTTAACTTTAATAACTTAGGTGTCTGTATGTATGCAAAGAAAAAAGACTGGAAACATCAAATTGTTTGCAGTGGTTTGTGATCTTGCTGGTGGGATTGTGTGATTGTTTTTCCTTCTTTTGTTTTCCTGGATTAAATTTTTTTGGCAGTGAAAGAACTCTTTAACATTTTGATGCTTCATCTCTTTTTAAAAATTTAGTCATCTTTTTCTGTATATTTGCAACGTAAGGTCATATTCTGCAGATTTTAGTCTGCCTGTTTTCATTTAACATTAAGTTATGAGCACTTTCCTATTAACAAGACTGTTAAATGGCTTTAATATAGTCCATTTTAAGGATATTTCATAATTACTTTTTCAAAGCTATTTTTGGACTATTTATGTTTAATAGAAAAATTAGCTCTTTGGTTTTGTCACTGGGGTATCATGATTAGTTTTATAGATATAAAATATCAAATATGAAAGTTTGTTTCGGTCTTGTTTTAATTTTTAGCAAGCTTCTCTGTCTGCACTTCAGTTCTTGGGATTCAAGCAAAGAGTGGTTAGTAGACATGCCTCAGAATGAAGATATTGAAGCCATATGTCTTGGTCTGGGATGGGCAGCTGCTGCCACCAGTGCCATGCTCCTTCGACTGTTCACTATTGGAGGTGTTCAGAAAGAGATCTTCAGTCTTCCTGGCCCTATAGTATCAATGGCAGGACATGGAGAACAGCTTTTCATTGTTTATCATACAGGTAGGTTTTTTCCTAGTCTTTTATAATTTTACCGAGACCTGAAATAAAATCAAAATTGCTTGAGAATTTTTCTCTTTCTCTTATTTTGTTTTGGGTTATATACCTGCTTTTGCATTCATTTTGTATTTGAATCAGTATAGTCTTCAAATTTACAGAATTTTGTTGTATTCCTTAATAGTAATGAAAAGGAAAATATTTTATTTGTAGGAAAACTGTATTGTAGAAAGAATTCCATGTTTAGTTACTTCCATGTTTAAATCTTGTAAGAATTTACAGAGTTTAAATGCCTCAAAAAATAAACTAACTTCTAGTGTACAGGACCAAGACAGTTTGAATATGACTTAAAAAGTTGCTGCTTCCTTCACTTCATATTCTGTCTTCAGTACCCATCACTATGTGTCAAGACTGATTTTATCAAGATTATTGATAGGGGGCAGGCAACCTTCATCTCAGGGCCATGAGTTCAAGCCCCATGTTGGGCCTAGAGCTTACTTAAGAAAAGAAGGAAGATTACTGCTAATCTTTTTATGCTTATTTTTTTTGATAATTCCATTAGAAACCCTTTTTCTATTTTTTTAAAATATTATTTAAATTCAAGTTAACATAAATAGTGTAGTATTGGTTTCAGGAGTAGAATTTAGTGATTCATCATTTACATATAACACCCAGTACTCATCCCAACACATGCCGTCTTTAATACCCATCATGCATTTAACCCATCCCCCTGCCCACCTCCCCTCTTTCAACCCTCAGTTTGTTCTCTTAACTATTGAGTCTCTTGTGCTGATTTGTTGACTCATAGTTCAAAAGTACAGCTTGAGAAACTACCCTGGGATATCTAGTTAAGGCCTGTGGCTTTATTATTTTATTTTTTAAGCTTTTATTTATTCATTTAAGAGAGAGAGAGCACAAGTAGGCGAAGTGGTAGACAGAGGGAGAGGGAGTAGCAGGCTCCCCACTGAGCAGGGAGCCCAAAGTGGGGCTCGATCCCAGGACCTCCCGAGCCAAAGGCAGACACTCAACCAACTGAGCCATCCAGGTACCCCAGGGCCTGTGGCTTTATATAGATCTGTGTGTTCATGACCTATAAATTAGTATCACCAGCCCTACCCTCTCCTTGTATCTACAGACTTATATATCCAGTGGCTGCTTGCAATCTCTTTGTACAATTTTGATACTCATTTCAAATTTGGTCATAATAAAACTTTTGCATTTTTGTTTTTTACCTTCCGCCTTGCCTTTTACTTAGTTTTCCCCATCTGAGTAAATGGCATACTCTTAACCCAGCCAGTCAAGTCAGAAATGAATCATGAATTCTTCTCTTTCCCTCACCGCCCCCACATCAACCCTATCAGTGAAGTCATATCACCATGTCAGTTCTATCGAGTAAAACATTCCAAACTGTCTTTTCATCTCCTCCACTAAAACCCCTCTTCTCCTGGACTAGTGGCCCTGTAACTGGCTTGTTAGCTTCAACCCTTGCCTTCCATTGTCCATTCTCCATATAACAACCTGAGTGATCTTTTAAAAACATAAATCAGAACATGTCCCTCTTCTGCTCAAATTCCTCTGATGACTTCCCATTGCTTTAGAATAAAAATCAAACCTTTAATCACAGCTAGCAAGGTCCTACATGATCTGACCTTTGCCTGCCTCTTCAACCTCATCTCTTGCCACTTTTTCTTATCATTCATTCTAGCCATACTAGCTGCTTTGTGTTCTTCAAATTTACCAAGCTTGTTCCCATCTTAGGATCTTTTCATTAGCTGTTCCTTCTTTTTACTATATTACAGCTCTTTCCCCCAACTAACTTGCAAATTATATCTCAGCTAAATTTTACTTTCTCACACAGGCCACCTCTGACTGTCCAGTCTAAAGTAATCACTCAGTCTGACACTCTGTATCACATTATTATTTTAATTCTCTGTTAACCCTTAACATTTTTTTCCCCAAAATTAGTCTTCTCCTACCTGAATATAAATTTCCTGAGGATATGTCTTCTTTACTATTGTAGCCTTAGTACCTCGCACATAGTAAGCTCTTTGTAAATATTTCTTGGGTGAATGAATTACCACTTAATACTACTTTGTATAAATAGTCCCTGTAACATAGTATTCTGCTTTAATACCGGAATGGTACCTCAGTCAGGGGGGTTATCCATAAAAAGTAGTGCTAGTTAATATAGAGTTTATCACAAAATCAGTTCACAAAATCACAGAAGGTACTCTAGACTGCATTATAGCTAAATAGCCTTTGATACCTGATTTCTATTTATATATTCTCACTAGGTGCAGGATTTGATGGTGATCAGTGCCTTGGAGTTCAACTGCTAGAGCTGGGGAAAAAGAAAAAACAAATTTTACATGGTGATCCTCTTCCTCTTACGAGGAAATCCTACCTAGTGTGGGTTGGATTTTCAGCTGAAGGCAAGATAAATTAACTTATTTATATTAAAGACATTTTTTCAAGTAGAAATTGTTCCATTGTTTTATTCCTAATTATTTTTCTTAAGGTGAATTATCTATATTATATGTGTAAATTTCTTTACTATGTTGGCAGTGGGGAAACTGGAATTGTTAGGCAAGATAGCCATTCTTTTATGTATAAGATCTGATGTTCATGTGAATTCTGTTTAGAAAACATACAAAGGGAGAAATACATTTCTCTAAAAGTTTGTTATAGATAACGAGGAGATACAAGTCAGTGGTAAAGTTGTGGCTTTTCCAGGAGATTCTATGCAAAAAAAAATAGGAAATTTCAATAGCTGCACTGTCTCCTGCGGTAGCCACGTGTGGCTATTGAGCACTTGAAATGTGGCTAATCCAGATTGAGATGGCGGTAAGTATAAAATACTCCGAACTTTGAAAGTTTAGTACAAAAAAAGAAGAATCTCAGTAATTCTTTTATATTGATTATATGTTAAAATGATAATATTTTGGATATATTGGATTTAATAAAATATATTATTCAAATTAGCCTCACTTTTTCCCCTTTCCTTTTTTTTAGCAGTTTTTTTTTTTAAGATTTTATTATTCATTTATTTGACAGAGAGAGAGAGAGAAAGATCACAAGTAGGCAGAGAGGCAGGCAGAAAGAGAGAGGGAAGCAGGCTCCCTGCTGAGCAGAAAGCCTGATGCAGGGCTCCATCCCAGGACCCTGGAATCATGACCTAAGCCAAAGGCAGAGGCTTAACCCACTGAGCCACCCAGGTGCCTCTTTTCCCCCTTTCCTCATCTGGCACTAAGAAATTAAAAGTTACATTTGTAGACTCATTTAATAATGGCTTATGACTGATGATGATTTGAAGTACCTTATTTTAAGGTACCTGTTTAATGTACCTGTTCTCTAGCTCAGATATTTCCATTGGAGATTCATGTCTTTCACTTATATCTTTGGAAACTCCAGTTTGTCTTTAAAAAAACAAACCATTTCTAGATGTTTTCTAGTGGGATTTTATTGGTTTTTTTTTTAAGATTTTATTTATTTATTTGACAGAGATCACAAGTAGGCAGAGAGAGAGGGGGAAGCAGGTTCCCTGCTGAGCAGAGAGCCCGATGCAGGGCTGGATCCCAGGACGCTGGGATCATGACCTGAGCCGAAGGCAGAGGCTTTAACCCACTGAGCCACCCAGGTGCCCCTTATTGGTTATTTATGTTCTAATGTGACCATTAGTAACTTCCATTCATATAGCTTTATTTTTTTCCCCAGTTACCAGTTAGATCTAGACTTGAGAAACATGCTGTTTGCAGTGTGAGAGGTGTATGAAGTCACAGATAATGAAAGGGGTAATTAGCAAATATGCTATGTACTTCCTGACATGAGAGCAGAGTAAGTGGGAAACAGAGATGCTGACTTGTTTTCAGGTTAAGAATTGCTTAGGTAGGAGTTGAGGACTACAACAGTGACAAGGCCAAGAAAGCTAGAAGAAGAAGAGTACTAAAGACAAATTTCTCTAGATCATCACTGTGCGTCAGGTTCCGGTCATTTTTCCAAGTCTCTCTTAACTAGCGAAACTTCAGATTCAGGTTTAACTTCTTTTTTTTTTTTTTTTAAACTGAAATTGGCTTTTAAAAATACTGCTATATTCCAGTAGGTGGCATAGTTCTCACTGAAACTATCAGCCTTTCCCTTGGGTAAATTTTAGTCATGCATTTTTTTTTTCTTTTATTCAGTTAGGTCTTACTCTGTGTGGTTAATGAAGTTTTGTGGAAATGATCTTTAATTATTCACCTTTTTGCTTTTGAACTGACATTTGAGTCATTGGTATATATTTTTGAAATTGGATTTATTTCACAAATATGTAGCTATTTCTCCCAAGTGATTCCTTTTTCAATTGCTGTGTAGGTACTCCCTGTTATGTGGATTCAGAAGGCATTGTTCGAATGCTTAACAGAGGGCTTGGTAACACATGGACTCCAATATGTAACACAAGAGAACACTGCAAAGGAAAATCTGATCACTACTGGGTGGTTGGTATCCATGAAAATCCCCAGCAACTCAGGTAGGCTATTAGAAAGTGCTTGGTTGTTTCTTTCTAAAAAGTACTGTGAAATTTTTTGTTTTATACACTTTAAAGGTATTTACAAATTTTTTTTGTCCTTCAGGTTAGTTCATATATTGGCTTTCCATATTTACTAACTTAGAAACTTGTTTATATTCATTTTGAAGTTTTCAACTGATTGCTTGACTTAGAACTTACTGAACAAAATAGAAATTAAATTTATTGGTCAGACTTTAGTATTATTTCAGCCAGACAGGGAAGGGAGAGCTAAATGTGGCATTTCATCTTTTATTACAGCCTTTTATTTTAAACTGTGATTTAGAATTGAGTGATTCAGTGGCTTTTTGAAAGTTTTAAAGGGCTCAGTAATTGTAACCAGAGAGAGGGCTAATAGAAATTTAGTAGCTGACTGCAGTTGTACAACTCTCAATGCATTTAGTCTATTCAATATTAAATATTTTCTTCTCTTTTTGACACTTGATATCTTCTTGGTCTAAGCAACTGGCAGTGACATTATGTCGGTACTTGGTGAACAAAGAGGTCTTTGCTTTCATGGAGCTTATAGACTGGGGAGACAGATAACAGAAATAAGTAAATGTTAATTACTACTTGGGATAAATGCCACAGATTAATCTGAGCAGACCCATGATGGAGCATAACAGAAGGGTACATTCTAGGTAGCATAATCACATAGGACTCTTAATAGAGATAGAATTAAAATGAGACCCAAGGCCAAGGAGTCTGTGAGGCAAAAGTGGAGTGAAAAATGATCCATGCAGAATAGACAGCATGTATAAAAGTCCTCAGGTCAGAAAGAGCTAGGTGTGTTTAAAGAATTGAAAGAATGCAAAAATGGCTAGCATACAAGAAGTTGAGGGTTGATGGGAAGCATAAGTCCATGCTGATATCGGAAAAAGACACAGGCTGCATTATAGACCATATAGAGAAGTTAATATTTCATTTGAAGTTGTATCGTGAAGCCATTCTACAGTTTTATCTGGGGAATGACGTAATCTGATTTATACTATAAAAAGAAAAATACATATGCTAAATGTATTGGCAGAGGTAAGACTGAAATTAGGGAGCCCAGTTTTCAGTCAGGGGATTTATCCTGCTTTCTGAGAGTGTTTGGAAACATAGGGTCATATTTTTAGCCATCACAATGATCAGGGGTTACCTGGCATTTAGAGAGCTGTGTCCAGGGCTGTTGAACATCTTAGAATGTGCAGGATGGTCCTACTGAACTACAGATCGTCCTTCCCAAGTGCTATCAGTGCCTCCATTGAGAAGCATTGAGGAAGATTTTGCAGTCATCCAGCAGAGCTATTAGTGTAGCTGGAACTAGGGTGGTGGCAGTAGAAATTAAGGGAACTAGATTTGAGATAGAAACAAGTAGGATTTTCTGTAGATGGGGTGTTGGGAGTGAGAGAGAAGACTCAATAATGACACCCATGTCTCCAATAAAAGCAACTAGATGGATAGTCATACCATTTATAGAAATAAGGGAGATGAAAACAAATTCTCTCTTGGGTATATTGTTGAAATGCCTGCAGAATATCCAAGTGGCGATATCAAGAAGGTATTATAATACATGACTATAAGATATAAATTTGGGAATCACCAGAATATAGAAGGTATTTAAAGTCATAGTAATAAACAAGGGGCACCTGGGTGTCTCAGTCAGTGAAGTGGCTGCCTTTGGCTCAGGTCGTGATCTCAGGGTCCTGGGATTGAGCCCCACATTGGGCTCCCTGCTCAGTGGGGAGCCTGCTTCTTTCTCTGCCCCCCCACCCCCCCCGCTCACTTGTTCTCTCTCTCTCAAAAATAAATAAAACACTTAAAAAAAAAATAAAGTCATAGTAATAAACGAGAACACATAGAAGACAGAAACAAAAAAGGTCACAGAATCCACCCCTTAGAAATTCCAAACTTTAGAGGTCAGGTATTGGGAGACGGAGCTTTTGAATGAGGAAAAGGAATATTGGCTAAGCAAACAAGAGAAAAATCACTTGAAGACCATCATATCACTGAAGTTGTAAGTAGAGACTATTTCAAGAAAGGCACTAGTTAGAAAAGAAAATAAAAATGGCTCTTGGATATGTGAAAAGATGATTGATTATCAAAATAAGAAAAATATGAATCAAAACTTACAAAAACTCTCTTTTTACTTATCAAGTGAGGAGAATCTGAAAATTTGATAACGCTCTTAGTTGGTGAGGCTGGGGGGAAATAATCAAGCTTATATTGCTGATAGCAGTATAATTGGTTATAATCCCTATGGAAGGCAGTTTGTCAAGAACTACCAGAATTGGAAATGCATGTGCTCTTTTATCTGCCTTAGGATTTTTCCTGCAGATATACTAGTACTTGCTGTTTCAAGTGTGATCCATGGACCAGCAGCATCAGCATCACCAGGGAGCTTATTAGAAATGCCAGATCTCAGGACACCTGGGTGGCTCATTCGGTTAAGCATCTGCTTTCCCCTCAGATCATGATCCCAGGGTCTTGGGATGGAGCCACATGTCGGTTCCCCTGCCCCTCATGCCCTCTTTCTCGCACACATATGCATGCACTTTCTCTCAAATAAAAGAATCTTTCAAAGAAAAGAAACACCAGATCTCAGGCATCACTTCAGACTTACTGAATCAGAACCTGCATTTTAACAAGATCCTCAGGGGATTTGTGTGTGCATTAAAGTTTAGGAAATATGCTGCTAGCACATGTGGAAATGACACATGGAAAAGATACCCTACATTGTAGGATTGTTAATATTAGCAAAAGATTGGAACCCTAAATTTCTATTAGTAGAATAGGTAATAATGTTAGGTACGAGTGCACACTAGAGTACCATGTAGATTTAAAAGGGATGTATATCAGAATATATAAAGAACTCTTGTAACCTAAGAAAAGGTAACTCAATTAAAAACTAGGCAGAGTATTTGAATTGACATTTCTCGAAAGAAAACACGCACGGCCTATAATGCATGAAAAGGTATTCATTAGTTATTAAGCATCATTATGCAAATCAAAATCACAGAGATACCACTTCATACCCACCAGGACGGTTATTATCTGAAAGATGGACAATAATTAGTGCTGTTGAGCATGCGGAGCCCTAAACAGCGCTAGGTGGGGATAGAAACTCGGTACAGTTTGGCATTTCCTCAAACAGTTAAACAGAGTTAGTATATGACTTAACTGTTCAACTCCTAGGGATATAAATAAAGGAATTAAAAACGTGTCATTTGAGTCCATACGAAATACCTGCCTTTCATCATGAATATGAGTAATTACTAATCTGTAGAAGCTGTCACTCCTACCTCCATTCGAATGACACTTCAGTTTAGCAAAAACTATCTTTATTGTTTACACTGAAGATTTTTTTTCATAATCACTACTGGTTAATATATAACTGAGTTTCCTGATTTTGCATGCGACAGTCCAGTTTGCTCTCCACCAACATTAACCTTCCTTCCTTTTCTCTTTAGCTTTTAAAAGCTCTTAAGAGTTTTAAGCATGCTTGCAAACGAATTCTTGTTTTGAGTTTTGTTTAACAAGCATTTGTTACAGTACTGACTATATGTGCTGTACTACGTAAAGGCCTGGAAGAGTTGGCTGCTAAAATCATTATCTACTCCTGAGTACGTGCTCTAAACAAGTTGTGAACAAAGTCTCCTCTGTGTAACCCAGAACACAAAGCAAAACTCGTTACCCGGGGAAAGCTTAGTCTGGACATTGGCCCCAATTTTCACTAGTCTAATATTTTTTCAACTCTTCCCTTAATAAGAGAACAAGTTTTATTATTTATTTGAAAAGGAATTGAAGTAATTTTGTTTTCTTAGTAAACCATAGTTTATTTTTTGCATTTTCTCCTCCAGATGGTTTAGCCACGCAATTTCCTGGAGGCTCATTCATTATAGGCAAAACCCACCAAATTAGCAGTCAAATGAGTTTGTTCTTCCTCTTCTTTCATGAAAGGGGTATTTAATGGAGAACAGGTCTTTTTACTTCAAGTCTTTAAAGCTAAAAGTATAAGAAATGTGAATTAGTACCCTGCTTTGATATAAATGTAGCTTTAAAAAACCATTAATAAAGTCCTAATTTTTCTTTGTGATAATTGCTTACTGTGATAAGTCAATAGAGTATTTGAGGTATAAAATGTTTTTAAACAGGAGAGTATAAGTCTTCTTATAGAAAAAAATAAATGTTAAGGCAGTTAAGATTATTCCCAGTGTTCCTTCTGATTATCTGTTAATATACATATATATGTATAATTAGACTTGTTCCTTTCCGAATGCACATGTGCTTTTTCATTTTGCATGACTAATAAACCACTAGCTTCTGTAAATGACAGAATTGCTACAAGAGATTTTTTTTCAGGTATTCAAACTGCCACCTGGTATGGTGATAACCACTGATTTATATGAAATCGTAAAAGGAGAGGAAGAAAAAGAAATGAGATTATGTGTTCAAAAGTATTGGAACGCTAAAAACATGTTTGTATTTTTATTGTAGGGTCACAAAAAGAAGAAAGTGTATTCAAATCTTATTAGGAAGAGGGGCCTCTCTAGTTTAAAAGATTGCTGAGTATTGCCACTTATTTAATTTTTAACTATTCTAGTGGGGATTTGATAATATTAGAAGACATTTATGAAAAAAATTTACACCTGAGGATCTGATTTCTACTTAGTATTTCCCTTTAAGAAAGTCATGACTTTAAGCCATGACTAAAAGGCTACTGTACTATAAATTAAATGTGTGGTTATTAATAGGCATTGAACATTGTACTGTATTTTTAAATGACTAGAGAAATTAGAAAATTCACCCAAGGTACTTCATGTGTGAGCATGGTTTTCCATTGGTTTTCTTATAAATAATTTGGAGTACATAAGTTGAAAGGGTATTCTACATGCATATGTCACTCTGCGATTAATGAATGCTTTTTATTTTTTATTTTTTTATTTTTTTTATTTTATTTTTTTTTTTTTTTAAGATTTTATTTATTTATTTGAAACAGAGAGAAAGAGATCACAAGTATGCAGAGAGGCAGGCATAGAGAGAGAGAGGAGAAAGCAGGCTCCCCGCTGAGCGGAGAGCCCGATGCGGGCCTCGATCCCAGGACCCTGAGATCATGACCTGAGCCGAAGGCAGAGGTTTAACCCACTGAGCCACCCAGGCGCCCTAATGAATGCTTTTTAATTAATGAATTGCATTACTATCATACTGATAGGCGTCTTTAAATACTTTCGTATCATAATCAGAAAAGGTTTAGACAAAGCTCTCACCACTGAGCTATTTATTATCACATAAGGCAACCATTGATTTAGCAGAGCAGGTATATTTTATAACCAGGTATATACTGGATTTTCTGCTTCAGTTTTACCAATATCTAGTAGTAGATACTTATCTCTATTGGACATATCACCATCTTTTTCTCTTATTTGACAATTTCTACCAGCAGTACCAAGTATTCCCAAACTGATAAATAAAAGGAAATGCTTCATGAGTATTTCATCTTGGGTGATCTGTTTTATAACATGGATCCCTTGACAACTATTATGGCATAGCTGCCATATTTTTTTTTTTTTAATATTTTATTTATTTATTTGACACAGAGAGAGAGATCACAAGTAGGCAGAGAGGGAGGCAGAGAGAGAGAGGGAAGCAGGCTCCCCACTGAGCAGAGAGCCCAGACGTGGGGCTCAATCCCAGGACACTGAGATCATGACCTGAGCTGAAGGCAGAGGCTTAACCCACTGAGCCACCCAGGTGCCCCGAGCTGCCGTATTTTAAAAGTGGACAGTTTCCGAAGAAAAAACTGATATGAGGAGGGGTTGTTGAAATTCTTAAAATGCATGGGGAGGGATAGTTTTTAAACCTAATCAGGTGTGTGGGGCACCTGGGTGGCTTAGTGGGTTAAGCCTCTGCCTTCGACTCAGGTCATGATCTCAGGGTCCTGGGATCGAGCCCCACATGGGGCTCTCTGCTTGGCGGGGAGCCTGCTCCCCCCCCCACCTGACTCTCTGCCTACTTGTGATCTCTCTCTCTCTCTCTCAAATAAATAAACAAAATCTTTAAAAAAAAAACAAACCCTAATCATGTGTGAAGTTAAAAAAAAAAGAGTAATTTGTTGTATATTATTAATCTAGCTATTGGAATAATATTATTCCAAGTTATTGAATTTTGGAAATTTTATATTTTAACAGTTTTTATGATTTGGGAGGGAGTTTTTGTAGTGAGACTTTTTTTTTTTTATTGACAGGTGCATTCCTTGCAAAGGTTCTCGGTTTCCTCCCACCCTTCCACGACCTGCTGTAGCTATACTATCCTTTAAGCTTCCTTATTGTCAGATTGCAACAGAGAAAGGACAAATGGAGGTATGTGGAAATCTTACCTTGACACTCTGAATTTGATAATGCATTGCCTGTGATGTAGACATTTAAAAATTTCCCTGATAAACAGTGTTGAATACTCATTACTTTATGATTAAATAAATAGTGGTAATAGGGTGGGAGGATGACTGCTTATGATCACAAGGGTACCTGATTGCCATCTCTGCTTCCAGGGATTTTGTCTGTGAGGTAAATGGGTATGAACATCAGGGTAAGGGCTCTTACTCACTCTCAGAGTTGGGTGAGTGCCTGAGAGGGTGGACCTCCATAAATATTGGGTCTTAGACCAGGCTTGCTTCACTCTAGGCATAGCCCTGTACCATCAAAAGTCATTTGAAATCTTGTAATTAGTTACTCTAAATAGGAAGTAAACCAGCCTCTTAAAAAGTAGCATACCACCTTCTCTGAGCATTAATGATAGCTAAGATACTGTTTAAAATGTTATATTTCCTTTTTTTTTTTTTTTTTAAGTACAAAAGATGAAGTTAAGGTTTGGTATCATGTTAAAATTTGAATTACAAAATAAACTATAGAAAAAGTATTTCAAAAATTATTTTAATTCAAAATCCGTTATCTTAAGATAAATATTTAATACTTGCCTGGTATTAGCTGGTAGTTTTCTCTAAGCTGTTTTTTTCACTTTTGTAGGAACAATTTTGGCGTTCCATCATGTTTCACAATTACCTTGATTATTTAGCTAAAAATGGTTATGAGTATGAAGAAAGCACTAAAAATCAAGCAATAAAAGAACAACAGGAGCTTTTAATGAAAATGCTTGCGGTGAGTATAATAAATACGCTGGAAAAATTAAAGTTGCACTTTTCTATAGATTGGATTTCTTAAAAGTATGTGAATTAGCACCAAGTTCCACAACCTCAGAAACTTTTTTTTTAATTTTTAAAATTTTAATTCTAGTATAATTTACATTGTTATGTTAATTTCAGGTGTACAATACAGTGATTCAACAATTCCGTACATTACTCAATTGTTTCCCAGTTGATGTTGCAGTTAAAATATTTTAAAAAATAAATAAGTAAAATATTTTAGACATTACCTTGTAACTAAGATCATGGGCAGATATGTGTACTTTTAACCTCCTTCTCCTATTTCACCCATCTCCCTACTGATGTCTCCTATGGTAACCACCAGTTCTCTATAGTTAAGAGTCTAGTTTTTTTGTTTGTCCTTTTTTCTGTGTTTGTTTTATTTCTTAAAGTATACATATGAGTGAAATCATATGGTATTTATCTTTCTCTGACTAATTTCACTTAGCCTTATACTCTCTAGAGCCATCATGTTGTTGGAAAAAGGTTAGTATTCACTGTTGTCCCCACTATGTGACACTGTCTTGAGTATAGTATTAAAGAAATTTTTTTCTAAAGATTTTATTTATTTATTTATTTATTTGAGAGAGGGAGAGAAAGAGAGTGTGACGGTGGGGGGGAGGTTCAGAGGGAGAAGCAGACTCCCTGCTGAGCAGGGAGCCCAATGTGAGACTTTATCCTGGGACTCTGATCATGACCTGAGCTGAGTCACTTAACCAACTGAGTGCCCCCCATTATTAAAGAAGTTTAATTAGCTTATTGTAGAGTAAGTTTTGTTCCTTTTATAAAAATGTCATTTGTGGTGTAGGAACTAGTAACCTTCTTATTTCCCACAGCACACGTAAGAATATCCGTTTGGTTATTTACCATGTAGCATTGGAGGAGCATTTCCTCTGGAACAGTGTTTCTGAACAGAGTATCAGTAGCTTAAGGACTGGTCAGTTCTTTAGCATTCCTGTCCCCCTGGCAAATGCTGGAACTTCAGCCTCGTTACTATGAGAATCCTACTACTTTTCATTTCCAAATGTCCCCTGAGGCAGAGTACTACCCTGATTAAGAAGTACTATTTAGGGGCGCCTGGGTGGCTCAGTGGGTTAAGCCGCTGCCTTCGGCTCAGGTCATGATCTCAGAGTCCTGGGATCGAGCCCCGCATCGGGCTCTCTGCTCTCTAGGGGAGCCTGCTTCCTCCTCTCTCTCTGCCTGCCTCTCTGCCTGCTTGTGATCTCTCTGTCAAATAAATAAATAAAATCTTAAAAAAAAAAAAAAAAAAGAAGTACTATTTATAGATGAGTGATAGTAGAAACCTTGAAAAGGACATGCAGGTGATTGTCTAAACCTTCTGTGCCGAGGCATGAGATGTGGGATGTCTAAGTAACAAAATAATCCTTCTACCCTATGAATTAGGAAACCCTTAGTAGTCTGTGAAGTACTAATTTTCCTTACATTGTACTTGAGTTGCCTCACTTTGAGTTGTAAAAATTCATACCAAAAGAAAAGTAGTCAAGTGTTTTCTAAGATGTTAAATGAATGCCCTTTGTTTTCTATTGTTACATATAAAAAAATAGAGCAAGAAAAAGGGAGTTGTTAATTAGAAGTTGTGTAAATATTTCTGGTAGTTGGAGATCTTAGACAATCACACTTAAAAATGAATGGCTAAATCTACTTCTCCCCACCCAAACTCACTTACTAGTATTTGTGTACCAATTCTGGGCAAAGGAATAACAAATAAATCATTTACTATCTATTCCTTCTTTGAACTTGCTGCCTTATTTGGTGAGGGTGGGGTGAGGGTAGGTGGGCAGTGAAACAAGTTTAAGAAAACCACATTTGAATTGTAAAGGAGTATCTTTACTTCCCTTACAATTAATAGCCTGAAATCCTAAGCCTTATTTCATTGAATCTAAGCTACTATTGATTGTAAAATGCATCATTATTTAAGCCCCTCCAAAAATGCTACAAATTAAACTCTGACCCACCATCAGTTGTGAGATGCTCCCACTTTCAGAGATGTTAAAATGTATAAAAATATGGTTCTTAGAATCAGTGAGATGCATTATCTAGAAAACTGATTTCTCAGTTTTACTACTAGTATCATTCTCTTATTTTTAAAAAAGTTTCTCTTGGGTGTTATACGCAACTAATGAATCATTGAGCGCTACATCAAAAACTAATGATGTACTATATGCTGGCTAATTGAACATAATAATAAATTTAAAAATTTTAAAAATAAAAAGTTTCTCTTGACATGGCTTTATTTTTTTTTCCATTCTGGGTTAGCTTTCTTGTAAACTGGATCGGGAATTCCGTTGTGTGGAACTAGCTGATTTAATGACTCAAAATGCTGTGAATTTAGCCATTAAATATGCTTCTCGTTCCCGGAGATTAATATTGGCCCAAAGACTTAGTGAACTGGCTGTAGAGAAGGCAGCTAAACTGGCAGCAACCCAGGTAGAAGAAGAGGAAGAGGAAGATTTCAGAAAAGAGCTGAATGCTGGGTAAGAAATAATCAGTTGCTTAAATTCTTCTTTACCATTCTGCATATTAAATTGGTCTTTGTATAGCTCTTTATTGAATAATATATTGTCTTTTAGTTATAGTAATACTGCTACAGAGTGGAGCCAGCCAAGGCTTAGAAACCAAGTTGGAGAAGATGCAGAGGACACCAGAGAATCTGATGATAAAGAAGAAGAACCAGAATTACATAACCATGGCAAGATTTTTTTTAAAAAGATTCATTTATTTATTTTAGAGAGAGAGTATGTGTGTGAGTTGGGGGAGGGACAGAGGGAGAGGTAGGGAGAGAAGCAGACTGCCCACTGAGCGAGGAGCCAGATGGGTCTCAATCTCACAACCTGGAGATTATGACTTAAGCTGAAATCAAGAGTTGGATGCTTAACCAACTGAGCCACCCTGGTGCCCCATAAGATACATTTTTAAGGCAATTTAAGGATGAGAAATGTCATTTATGTGGCTTTCCCCATTTTACTTAGCTGAGGAAAATTGAATACCAGTGCTTTGTTAATATATCTATGCTGATTGTTGATTATAGAGAGTAACTTTATCTCCCCATTTACATTGTATTGTTTTAAATTTTATAGGACAGAATCCATTTTGCAAAAGTGCAAATTCTGCTGATGTGCCAGCTATTAAGTCAGGTAAGAAATATTTCTGATTCTGTAATATCAAGAAAATTGTGCAAGTAGTCTTTAAAGTGATATATCTATTCAAATACCCCTTTTGCCCACCCCCACCTCCACTCTTCTGCCCTTGGTTTGTTTTTATCAGAAATATTGTTTGTGAAACTGCTAATTTTACAAATATTTATTAAATGCCTATTGTGTGTCAGGTATTTGACTAGGTGGGACATATAGAAGTCGGTCAGACATGCATGGTTGATTCCTGCATATATCTTACATAGTATCAACTGAATTTTTAAACCATGTGTATATAGTCCTTTGATTTTAAAAAATTACCTGGAAACACATGTACAGAGTATTATAAGAGCATATAACAGTGTGCTGTAATCTAGTCTTTGTTGGGACCCCAAGGGAGGCCTCATGGAATGTTTAAAGCAGAGATGAATATGAATCAGCTAGGCTGACGTGGGTGAGAACAGAAGCAAGGGAAAGGTGTGTGACTTAAGGAATAGCATTTGCGAAGACTATAAGAGTAGTGTGAAGAGCACAGAGGCAGAAAAAAGTGATACCGAGTGGTTTTGGAGGGAAGGGCGGGAGCTAAATCACGCAGATTCATGGAGGCCACAGTAAGGATTTTGATCTTTATTCTGAGGTCACTGGGAGGCTGTTGTAGGTTTAAAGCAGAGGCAGAGCGTGCACACTGGCAGAGGAGGAATGCACATAAGGAGACAGCCCAAGTGACATTGAATAGTGTCTTAGACTTGGGTGGTAGTGACGAATGGGAGAAAGAATGAGAGGAATTGATAAAGTGTTTCTGAAGAAAATGTAGAGAGTATGAAAGTTCAGGGTATAAGAATGACTCAGTTTCCCGGCTTGAATATTTGAATGAATGATGGTACCATTTACTGGGTTAGAAAACACTAGGGAAACTCAGGTTTAGATAGGACGAAGATGAACTACTATTGGATATTTGGGTTAGGAACTCAGGAAAGTAGTCTGGGAGCGAGATATAAAGTGAAAATTGTTGGCATAACAATAGCAATTTAAATCATGGGCATGGGTGATTGAGCATTGGAGGAGGATATAAAGTGAGAAGAAAAGTGAGCTTAGGGGGTGGAGAGTCCCCAGCATTTAAACATTGGGCGGAGGAGGAACCATCAAAAGAAAATGAGGTAAGAGAGGAAGGAGATAGGAACATGGAATCTCAGAACTCAAGAGTAGGAGACAGTATCAAAAAGAAAGGAACACTCAGCTATGTAGAATGCTGTTGAGTGGGTCAAAATGATGATGACTAAAAACTACCCACCATATTTGGCCAGACGGACTTTATTGGGTCCTTAGCAAGAGCAGATTCTATAGGATAGTAGGGCTGGAAGCCATTATATTTTGGATGTGGGAATGTATGAACCTTGAGGAACTGGGAATAGCTTTGTTGACAGCTCTTGAATTTGGCTCTATGGGGTTGGGAGGGCTTGTTTTTGTTTATTTGTTTGTTTAAGTTAGGAAACTTGAGTAGCCAATAAAGAGGAAAAAGTAGTATACATCCAAAGATGGTATAGGCACTGATAGAGCAAGTTTCCTGACAAAGCAGGAGGGATTGGGATCTAGGGCACAAGTAGAGGAATTGTTAACTTAGCTAAAATGAGTCACCGTTCTTCCATGGTAATAGGAGAAAAGGATTGATCTATATGAATATTGGGTTGTTATATTTCATAGTAACAAGTTGGGGTAGTTCCCATTTACTAGCTTGTATTTTAACTTGGAAAGAGGTAGGAGGTCATATATAGTTGTTAATAGTTTTTAAAGCTGCAAAGTACATTTGTTTTTGTATGATACAGATTAAAATATTCCATCTATTGTTAGAGAAGTCAGAAGTCTTCCATGTTTTGCCACTATTAAGTGAGGGTGTCTTTCTTACAAAAGGTGCAGTTACCTGTAGCAACCAAGGACGAGTAAACCCCTTCAAGGTAAACTCTTCCCAGTGATATTTAAAATGTATTTCAGTACATTTTTATACAAAGAAATATTTCCAGACCACCAGATGACACTCTCCAGACTTGGAGGCATTAAAGACTAAAGCAGATCTTCATGAAAACATATGAAAGCAGCACTAGTTCACACTTGGTCTAAGAGTTATATGTTCTACTTACGTTTTAAATACTGATTTGTTTTTTTTAAGATTTTATTTATTTACTAGAGTGAGAGAGAGCATGGGAGGGGAGAAGGTCAGAGGGAGAAGCAGACCCCATAGAGCTGGGAGCCTGATGTGGGACTTGATCCCGGGACTCCGGGATCGTGACCTGAGCCGAAGGCAGTTGTTTAACCAACTGAGCCACCCAGGTACCCCTAAGTACTGATAGTTTTGAAAGATTATTCCCTCTTTTCCTTGGGGATGTGGTATATTTAATACGTGTATCAGTCTTAATTTGTATTGTATAAAATGTGTTCAATTCCAAATGTGAGACCACAATATAGACCTGACATATTTTAAGGAAAAATTAGTCTCTTGGGATTTTTTTTCTTCTTTAAATATAAAATGCTAATAGTTTATTCTTTAGGTATCAGCCAATTCCAAAGAACCATCCACTTCAGTGAATTCAGCACGTTCAAGTAATATTTTAGATAATATGAACAAATCATCCAAGAAATCTACTACACTTAATCGAGCTACAAATAATGAAAAGTCTCCAGTTATAAAGCCTCTAGTTCCAAAGCCAAAGTCTAAGCAGGTATACAATTTCAACTACCCACATTAACAATAAGCAGCACATATTCTGTTTGTTTTGTTCACTCTCTCAGGTATGGGACAGGAGGCTCCGGTTGTTTATGATTGATTGTCTAGCAAGGGTAGTGGTTCTCCAATCTGATTTTGCTCCAGAATCACTTTTTGGGGGGGAAAGAAAAATATATATATAATATATAGTATATATATTATATATATATATTACATACATACATACATATACATATACATTCAGGGCCCAGGGACTCAAGCATCTGTCTGGTCTTTAAAAAAAAATTTTCCAGATGATTCTGATGCGTATCTTTGTTTAAAAATGATGCTGTAGTAGCTGGCCCCAATCTTTTTTTTTTTTTCTTTTTTTGAAGATTCTATTTATTAATTTGACAGAGAAAGAGAGACAGCAAGAGAGGGAATACAAGCAGGGGGAGTGGAGAGGGAGAAGCAAGCTTACCGCTGAGCAGGGAGCCCGATGTGGGGCTCGGTCCCACGACCCTGGAATCATGACCTGAGCTGAAGGCAGACGCTTAACAGCTGAGCCACCCAGGCGCCCCCCAGTCTTGTTCTGTATTCTGATTTTGCCTTCTGGTTTCAGCCCAGATTTTGTATTTCATCCCAGATTTGTCATTAGTACAATAGATCTTTTTTCTTTCCCATTTCATATAATAAAATTCAGCACTTAGAAAATACGGAATTTGTAGTTTTAGGGGATTTTGTGTCTGTAGTCATGTTTTTGTTCAGCTGAGAACCCCAGGGGGCTTCTTCACATGTTGGTTTAAGAATTCTACATATATTTTCCCACACTTTTAAAAAGTTGATTGTAGTATATGAAATCTTACTAGATTTTGTTGCAGTATTCATTATGTTTGTTTTTACAGGCATCTGCAGCATCCTATTTCCAGAAAAGAACTTCCCAAACTGATAAGACTGAGGATGTAAAAGAAGAACATCCTAAACAGTCATCATCTGAAACACTAGCTATGTCTCCTCAAAACATTGAAAATCAAAGGTCCGTACATAAACAAATTTATTATTCTTAAGATATAATATCCCAATAAAAGGCATACAGAAACAATACAAAATTACTCAACTCTCTTGTTCATTATTACAAGTAATACATTGACACTGGTAGTGGACATTCTGAACACATAACTTTAAGGAAAGGAAGCCATAAATATTGATTAATGTCTATTTATGTTACTTAATAAGATACACCCTGATAAATTATATGTGTTTTAAATTGTACATATTTTATAATTTTTTATCTTAAAATAGATAGTTACATGGGAGAAACAGTGAAAGGTTACCCAAAAAATGTGTGATAAAGAGTAAACATCTTTCCTGTCCACCCAGTTCCCTTCTTGCACAGTCACTACAACAGATTTCTCACATAGCCCTCCAATATTTTTTGTGCATGTTCAAACACTTAGATTTATCTATTTTTTTATTTTTACAGAAATGGTAGCATACATGTTATTCTGTACCTTGCTTTTTTTCACTTAACATTTTTTATAGACCATCTCATATTACTACATAAAGAGTTTCTTTAATCTTTTCACATACACTGAATGGATATCCATAATTTATCAGTTCTCTACTGGTGCTGGTCTTTTGCTAGTACATATAGTAGCACAAAGAATAACTTCATATGAATGTCATTTCTCACATATATCTATAGCTATAAGTTGGATTCCTGTATGCTTCAAGTTAATGTGCACTTGTAATTTCAATAGATATTGCCAAATTTTTCTCCGTTGATGTTGTATCATTTTCTATGCCTCCTGCAATATGAGAGTTTCTATTTGTCTGCCAGTGCAATATGTTACCACATTTCTTGAGGTCTCTTTTTTTTTTTTTTTTTTAAGATTTTTATTTATTTTCTTATCAGAGAGAGCTCAAGCTCAAGCAGGGAGGAGGGGCAGAGGGAGAAGGAGAAGATGACTCCCCGCTGAGGAGGGAGCCCGACATGGGGCTCAGTCCCAGGATCCCTGAGATCATGACCTGAGCCAAAGGCAGATACTAACCCACTGAGCCACCCAGGTGCCCCTTAAAGGTTTTATTTTTTAAGTAATCTCTATACCCAACGTAGGGCTCAGACTCATGACCCCAAGTTCAAACACTGCATGTTCTACCAACTGAGCCAGCCAGGTGCCACTCATGTTAACCAATTTAATTTGAGGAGTAGCTTTGGTTTTTATTTTTCCCATTTTTGTCCCGAATTCAAATCAGATACTAAATGATGAAGATTTTATTTAAGAAGATTCCATTTTTTTTTATTATCAGTGAGCTAAACATAAAACTTACTTATATGAAATTTCATTAAAGAATTATCACTGCTTAACTAAATTTTTTTTTTTAAGATTTTATTTATTTATTTGGCAGAGAGAGATCACAAGTAGGAAGAGGCGGGCAGAGAGAGAGGGGTAAGCAGGCTCCCCGCTGAGCAGAGAGCCCAATGTGGGGCTTGATCCCAGGACCCTGAGATCATGACCTGAGCTGAAGGTAGAGGCTTAACCCACTGAGCCACCCAGGCGCCCCTTAACTAAATATTTTGTCACAAATGTTGATATACTTAATCAGAAGAGAAATGTTCAATTTTGTTTTTCTCTTGAACAACAGCTGTTTGGGGGGAGATTGTATGCTATTAGCTAGACTTGCCCCCAGTTTGATTAAAATGAATATTTCTAGAAATTCAAGAACCTTTGTTTAGTGTTGCTATTTGTTTTTATTTGCTCTATTATTTTTCTGAAAGTAGAATTATATTAGGATATTTCCAGAAATTGGGCAAGTAGTTCTAGCCAGACTAATAATTTTTTAATAGCTTGTTTTTCTAAAAATTAAAAAGTTTAGGCAAAATCCCGCAATTACTCATAAAGGTAATTCTTCCCTTCTAATCTTTTTTTAGTAAAATTAAGATGTTATATTTAATGAGATTTGTATTAGAGCTATAATGCTATATCCTGTCTTTCTGGTTCCATTTAAAATTTTTTTTTTTTTTTAAAGATTTTATTTATTTATTTGACAGAGAGAGATCACAAGCAGGCTGAGAGGCAGGCAGAGAGAGAGGAGGAAGCAGGCTCCCTGCTGAGCAGAGAGCCTGATGCGGGGCTCGATCCCAGGACTCTGAGATCATGACCTGAGCCGAAGGCAGTGGCTTAACCCACTGAGCCACCCAGGCACCCTCCATTTAAAATTTTATCATAAACATTTTTCTGTGGTATTTTTGCATCTAATTTTTGCTGTGTCCTTAAATTTATTATTCAGGCTCCATTTGGTTACAGAGTAGTGTGGGGCAGTAGTAGAGCTGATGTGTTAAGCATGGGGATGCTAGAGTCAGACTGCCAAGTTGTTCAATCCCGGGTCTGATTTCTGCTGTGTAATCTGGAATAAGTTATTTCACATTTCTGAGCCTCAATTTCCTCATCTATGGTATGGAGATAGTAATTGCACCTATGTCATAGGGTGAAATGAGGTAATACATGGCTTTTAGAACAATGCCTAGCACATAGTAAGTGCTCAGTAAATATTAAATGTTTTTTTTTAATCATTTTTTAATTTATTTTCAGCATAACAGTATTCATTGTTTTTGTAAATATTAAATGTTTACGTTAAACCTTTGCTTATGACCTAAAGACAATTGTTTCAGAAGTAAAGGCTAATGAAATTGACAAGTGTGCTGTGTTTATGCTTTACATAATAGTTGCACAAGAAAGGACCCCCACTCCCAGGTCAGCTATGAGAGCAGAGAGGGGTTGGGTAAGGATCTTGAGAGAAATAAAAATATCAAATAGCTGGTTTGGGAAATGGAAAGAGAACCCACCAAGGATACTTGGAAAAATTTTACTGGCCCAGCAGGGCTGAGGGGAATTGGAGATCTTGAGCGTATAAGTATTCTAAAAAGAGCTGAAAGTGTAGAGTTCATGGTTGCTCCACTTGGAAAATACAAATATAAGTAAAATCTTTGAATTGATCTTATAAGGGATTTTTCAGTTCGTTATTCCCATGGTCTCCAGGGTAATATGTAGTATGAATATTAACAGATGTAATTAATTGTGTCTCTCGGGGCGCCTGGGTGACTCAGTTGGTTAAGTGTCTGCCTTCGGCTCAGGTCATGATCCCAGAGTCCTGGGATCAAGCCGGCCTCAGGCTCCCTGCTTCTCCCTCTCCTGCTCCCCCTGCTTGTGCTCTCTCTGTCAAAAAAAAAAAAAAAAAAAAAAATCTTAAAAAAAAAATTTAATTGTGTCTCTCTTACTTTATATAGATATGCAAAGACTAGTGGTTCATTACTAACCTGAAAAATCATAAAGCACTTTAAACTGCATTTGAAGTATAAAATTTTTTTCACATAATTGCTATTTTAGGCCAAAGACTGGGTTCCAGATGTGGCTGGAAGAAAACAGAAGTAGTATTTTGTCTGACAATCCTGACTTTTCAGATGAAGCAGACATAATAAAAGAAGGAATGATGCGATTTAGAGTATTGTCAGCTGAAGAAAGGAAGGTAAGGATAATTTTGCTGAGATTGAGATCTTATTAAATTCCCAGGTTTTAAAAATTCTTACAGAAAATTCCCTTTTTCTGTTTTTGGAAATTGCAGATCTTCTGGTAAACTCTTGGTTGAGAGGGAATTAAATAACTGAAATGCCAGCTTTGACTGTATGGGTGTGTAATAATTATTATTTAGTGCCAGGGGTTAAATTTGGGGCAGATATACTGTTTATATCTGTATATAAGTTCCTATACAATGCAAGTTAGTAGGCTACTCCAAGAAAAAGTACATTACTTCTAAATCAAAAGCAAACTAAGTGAATAAGTAAAAATGAAATTCACATGTTTGGATTTTAAGGTTCTTGTAATTTAAGAAGAATTTTTTAAAATGCTGTGTACTTCCACATTGAATACAAAGTGAGAATACTGGACTGCCTGGCTGACTCAGTCAGTAGAGCATGTGACTCTTTTTTTTTTTTTTTTTTTTAAGATTTTATTTATTTATTTGACAGACAGAGATTACAAATAGGCAGAGAGGCAGGCAGAGAGAGAGGAGGAAGCAGGTTCCCTGCTGAGCAGAGAGCCCGATGTGGGGCTCGATCCCAGGACTCTGAGATCATGACCTGAGCCGAAGGCAGAGGCTCTAACCCACTGAGCCACCCAGGCACCCCGAGCATGTGACTCTTGATCTTGGGATTGTGAGTTTAAGCCTCACTATGGGTATAGAGCTTACTTTAAGGAAAAAAAAAACCCAAAAAACCAAAAATGAGAATACTGCTTTTGGGGAGAAAAGGTAGTGTTCTATTATAGCCTTTCACTTGGAAATTAGGACAGGTGGCTGGTACCTATTGCTCCCCATGTAATTTCTGCCATGTGAGGGAGGGCTGGGAGCAGCTTGCTGGTGCAAGGGGAAGGAATGTTCGGGGCATATCAGTTAAATGCTCAGATTTCACTTCCCCAGGGCTGACAGTACACAGCATGGGCACCTGGTGAAATAGATACCTGCCTCGATAAACTGGGTTTTAAGAGTAAAGTGTATTACAAAATGAGGAGGCTAGAAACTGGTTTAACCACCTCTAGCCCTATTAGAATTTCACTGGCAACTTCATGCTTCTCATTTTTTACAAGAATTTATAAGAGGATAGAAATTCTAAAGAATTAGATAAAATGGCATTTGAATGGTCTTATGCAGCAGAAGAGGAAGAGACTTGGTAAAGGTTGTGATTGTGTATTTGAATACTTAAAAATGTAATCAGTATTGTTAAGGTAAACCTTAAACATTTTCTTAAATCCAGTCTGTTAATGAGAAATTCTGCAGCTTCAAAGGGTTCCTTTTCTATAGTAAAGAAACAGGAAAAGAAGCAAAGTGGAAGAAGGAGGAACTATGACATATTAAAATAGATTTAAGAGACTGATGGAGGGGCGCTTGGGTGCCTCAATCAGTTAAGCATCTGACTCTTGATCTCTGCTCAGTTCTTGATCTCAAGGTTGTGAGTTCAAGCCCTTCATTGGTCTCCATGCTGGGTGTGGAACCTCCTTAAAAAAAATCAGTCATTCAGTCAGTCAATAAGAGACAAATGGAAACGACTGAACTTCGTAAGGTTCTTGCTTAGTGAATAGCAGCCAGTCCTAAAAGAATATCTGAAATGTCATTCCTGAAATGACAAAGTGATAGGGATGAAGAACAGAGCACTAATTACCAGGAGTGGGGACCTGGGTGGGAAGTGTAGGTTTTGGGGGCAACATGAGGGATCCTTATAATGATGGAACTGTTTTGTATCTTGAACATGGAATCTACATTGGAATTAAATATACACAACACACATAGGAGTAGAAATAAAAAAGAGAGGAATTGTATTGATGTCAGTACCCTGATTGTGATACTACATTTGTTTTGCAAGGTGCTTCTATTGGGGTAAACCGGGAAACTGGTACACGAGATCCTTCTGTATTGTTACCTACAACTGCTTGTAAATAATCTCAAAAAGTTTCATTTTTTAAAAAGTAGCTGCTGTTATAGTATTTTGCACTTAATATGGTTAAATACAAGCAGAGTTTAGATTGAAATGTTAGAGGTAGAATGTAAATTTTTTAACGTGCTCTGCAATTAAGTAAAAGATCTGTTAACAATGAGAACCCTTAATGATTAGCTTAACAATTCAAGTGCTAATTATGCTGCTTTTTAAAAAAAATACTGCTCTTTTATATATGGATTTTTACCTGGAAAAGAAAGGAAATCATTTCCTTCCTATTTCTTTTTTACTGACTAAAAATATTTCTCCTCCCATATTTTTACAAAGGCATGGGCTTCCAAGGCCAAAGGAGGAACTACAAGTGATGGAGCTGAAGCAAAGAAGCGAAAACATGTGGTTGATGAAAGTTATGAAACTGAAAATGAGAAGGAAAAAGCAAAGGAGAATCTGAATTTGCCTAAAAAGCAAAAACCTTTAGATCTTTCGACCAATCAGAAGCTGTCAGCTTTTGCATTTAAGCAGGAATAGAGTTAAAGAAAGTGGGAAAGTGGGTAATGGATTTTTTATTCATCATTGATGAACCTGGACTTTAAAAAAAAAAAAACTTTAGAAAACTCATTGTATATTTTTGAGAGTTTAGTGACAACTATCTGTCTTCATAAAATAATGTAGTGTTTATATTTGTGTAGGTAACAGGGCATGTGTAAAAACTGTCATCTCTGCAGATTGCTCTGTTCCCAAATGGAGGTACGTTGAGAAACACTGTGATTAGTCACTGATGTGAAGCCATTGGCGTGTCCTAATGGAAGCCAGTTTGATGTTGTTTCTTACCTTTAAAATCATCAAAGCCAAGATCTTAAAACCTCTGAACATTGAAGTACCTTCAGGGGGTTTCCTTGTTCGGTTTATGTCATGTACGGAGAAGTACTACAGAAGTCGTCCTCCAGGTTTGTTATCATAGACTCTTCTCTATATCTATACTGAACTAGGGACCATGTTTTTAATATGTACCCTAAACATGTAAATAATTTTGTAGATGAGATTTTTTTCTTTTGTTTGTTTCAGAAATTTCTTCATATATGGTTTTCAGTTGTCTTTGTATTGCCTGGTTTTTAAAAAATAAATGACTTTCACGTTTCCATATTTAGCTTGCTGTGGTCTTAACATTGTATTTCCATGAAATGGAAATGTTTCTAGAAAATACAGTTTATATTTATTGCCATAATTTTCAACATCATCCCCATCATGCTAAGCATCATACACATGGAAAAGAAGATTGAGGGTACTGTTTTGATAGTATTTCAGCCCAGGGCATAATGTGTTCTTGGTAAGATACTCTGGTTATCATCATCAGCAGTACTTTCCTGAGTAAGTCTTTGAAGCCTTGATAAGAGAGTAGTTGAAGAGTTCGGGAAAGTGTTGAACTCCTCTTTAATTTTGAACAAACAAGATTTAATTATTTCATGTATTTTTGGTTATTATTCCAAGCAGAGTTTAATATAAATGCAGCCACTTAATGAGAGCAGAGTACATAGGGTTGGGGATGGAGGGGGGGTTGTAATAAAAATAAATCAGGTGGCTCAGAATTGAGGATGGTATTATATGTTGGAAGGAATATAATATGTTGAAAATTCAGATACGTAGAAGCCAAAGGTACTCTTTATCATGATGACTAAGCTTAGGAAGGAATACAGTTTTGACTTTTTAATTAGTAGCTAGTATAGAGAGACATTATAGTGCAGTGGTTAGGAGCACAGATTTCAAAGCCAAACAACCTGGGTCTGAAGACTCCCTGTAATACCTACCAGCTAAATAAACCTTGGACAAGTTTCTAGCCTTTGACCACTCATCTGTAAAATGGGTATAATAATAGTACCCAGTTTAGGGTTATGGGAATTAAATGAGATAAAAGCACTTAGTTCCTAGTACATAGTAATGTTTTATATAGATGTTGGCTATTATTAGTTATGCTATTGGGTATTTGATGTTGCTTCATCATTTGATTTCGTTCTGAATAGTGTATGAATTTTTATTTCAAGAACTTGAGGTAAAAGTTTATAGTACTTTGGAAAACATGTTTGTAGACATACATTTATTTTTATTTCCTCAACTTATTTGTTGTACATAGGATATAGTCCTTCAGCTATTACATTTCCATAGGAACCTGGTAATACTAAGGATTTGAAGAAAAAGAAAAAGGTGTTTTTATTTTTATTTTTTTTAAGATTTTATTTATTTGTCAGAGAGAGAGAGCACACGAGAGAGCACAGCAGGCAGAGTGGCAGGCAGAGGCAGAGAGAGAAGCAGGCTCCCTGCCGAGCAAGGAGCCTGATGTGGGACTTGATCCCAGGACCCCGGGATCATGACCTGAGCTGAAGGCAGAGGCTTAACCAACTGAGCCACCCAGGTGTCCCAAAAAGGCCTTTTATTTCGTTGAAGGAACATTTTTGTATTGACTTGGTTTAAATTTTAAATCAAAACTTGAAAACCGGGACGCCTGGGTGGCTCAGTTGGTTAAGCAGCTGCCTTCGGCTCAGGTCATGATCCCAGCGTCCTGGGATCGAGTCCCACATCGGGCTCCTTGCTCATCAGGGAGCCTGCTTCTCCCTCTGCCTCTGCCTGCCATTCTGTCTGCCTGTGCTTGCTCTCTCTCCCTCTCTCTCTCTCTGACAAATAAATAAATAAAATCTTTAAAAAAAAAAACAAAACTTTGAAACCAAGAAACATTACCTTTATTCCTTTGCTACATAAGATTAAATCTTTAAAAAGAATTTTTTTCAGAGAATTGGGACTTAAGAGTGGGAAAATGGAAATGGAAGTGAATGAATATATTAACCACCATCATGATATCAATAATATTGCCCATTCTGAGCTTGTTATGTGCTGTAGAATATAGCCATTTGCTTAATTTCATTCTTTGTGTGAAGTAGTAAAAACTTCTCAAAGAGGAGGTTCTTTTTATACTTTATATTCATCAAAAGAGCATCATCTGATTATTCCAGAGAGCAAGTGAGTGAGCACTGAGTTATGCCTGCCACCTCTGTGGGCTGTGGTAATCTACAGCCTATCGTATCAGTGCAGCAGCCTGTGGTGAGCCACTGTCACCAACATGAAACAGATCCCAGTAGACAAAAAGATGCGACCCATCCATGTAGAAAGTATCTTAATCAGTGACTGGTTGTCTGATGGGTCTTTCTTGTTTTCCAACTGCTTGATTATAGAAGTATGTAATTTTTCCTTAGGTTTCTATTTTGAAAATTTTCACACCTAAGGAAAATTTCAAGTAGTGCAGTGAAAGTAATACACCCTTTATCTGAAGATTGACTTACTGGTGACATTTTGCAATATATGCTTTATAAATAGAGTTTTTCCCAAGCCATTTGAAATATGCATCATGATATTTCACCCCTCAGTGCCTCAAGCTGTGTCCCCTAAGAACAAAGACATCCTTTTTTATGTAACCACAATATATTATATCAAAGAAATCTAACAGAAGAGTATTATTACCTAAGATGCATTTTATATTAAAATTTCCCCTAAAGCATCCTTTAGCCTTCCCTCCCTGCCAACCACCCAATCTAGGATCAATCAAGAATCCTGCATTGAAAAAATCTTTTTAAAAATCCTGCATTTCATTTAATTAGAAGTGTATACATTTTTTTAGTTCTAGTTGACATACAGTATTCTATTAGTTTTATATTAATTTATATTAATTATTTATATTAGTTTTCAACATATATACATTATACTAGAAGTCATAATTTTTAAAAGATTTTATTAATTTATTTGAGAGAATACAAGCAGGGGGAGAGGGAGAAGCGTACTCCCTGCTGAACAGGGATCCCGACGCAGGGACGCAGGGCTTGATCCCAGGACCCTGGGATCATGACCTGAGCTGAAATTGGACACTTAACCAGCGGCCACCCAGAGGCCCCAGAAGTACAACTTTTTAATACGGGAAGAATAAGGAGGAATATCCCCTCCAATCCTAATATCTGGAGGTAAACACTGTTAGTATTTTGGTGTATGTCATTAGGCTTTCTTCTGTGCATGTGTTTTTTTCTTTCACATAGATATGCTGTCCAAATTCATGGTCCCAAAAGGTATAAAAAAAGGACCCCAAAAATCCAAAAGAAAACCAAACAACTCAAGCCTAAAATTTGAAGTGTTGCCTTTTGCTGGTGGTGGTCCTGTTGTTGATGCCATTTTCTACCTTCTTTGGAACTATATCATAAAGGGTAAAAAGTGATGGAATTGAAAACAAACATAATGGGATCAGAAAGCCAAAAGTTGGTTCTTTGAAAGACAAATTTGGAAAATATCTGGCAAGATTAATCATAATAGAAAAAGAGTGATAAGTGATACTAGGAATAGAAAGGAATGTATTAACTACAAATGGTACAGATTTTTGAAAGAGGCCTATCATGATCAGTTTTGTCTGTCAATTGCCTTGGCCACATCTGCCAGTTATTCAGTGAAACACTAACCTATGTACTGCTAGGAAGGTATTTTACAGATTATATTATAATCAGGTGACTTTAAGTAAGTGAGATAATCCTAGATAATCTGGGTGGGCCTGATTCAATCAGTTGAAAGACTTTAAAGAGCAGAACTGAGGCTCTCCTGAGGGAGAAGAAATAAACCCATAGACAGCAGTTTCAGCTCAAGCCAGATTTCCTGCCTGCCCTTTCTAGAGGTCTACCTCTGTATCTAGGGTTTCAGACTTGCCTTCTAGTCTCCACAACTGTGTGAATGAATTCCTGCAAGAAATCTTCTAATATATTTTCCTGCTAGTTCTGTTTCTCTAGTTGAACACTGACAAATTCAGGACTATTATAAATAACTTTATGACAGTAAGTTGGAAAATTTTGGTGAAATAAGTACCTACAAAAGCAGAGCTTAGTAAAAGTGACTCAAGACATCAAAAAACTAAAATACTTAGGAATACATTTGACAAATAAGCAAAACTTTATACTCTGACCTACAAAACATTGTTGAAAGACATAAAAGAAGACCTAAATAAATGCAAAGACACCCTGTATTTACGGACTAGAAGACTTAACACTGCATTATTAGATTGGCCATACTCCCCAAACTGATCTACAGATTCAATGCATTCTTGATCAAAACCCCAGCTGGGTTTGGTTTTTGTTTGTTTGTTTGTTTGTTTTTTGCAAAAAGTGACAAGTTCATCCTAAAATTCATATAGAAATTTAAGGAACCCAGAATAGCCAAAATAGTCTTAAAAAAGAAAGAACAAGTTGGAGGATTCATACTTCATAATTTCAAAACTTTATGAAGCTATAACAATGAAGACAATGTGGTCCTGGCATGAGAATAGACCTATAGATCAATGCAATGGAATTGAGAGTCTAGAAATAAACTCTCACATTTACTGTCAATTGATTTTTTCACAAGGTTGGTGGAGCAATTCAATGGGAAAATGTTAATCTTTTCCACAAATGGTGCCAGACAACTGGATACATGTAAACACAAGCATATTTTTTTTTAAAAGATTTTATTTGTCAGAGAGCATGCATTAGGCATGGGGAGCAACAGGTGGAGGGAGAAGCAGGTTCCCAGCTGAGCAAGGAGTCTAATATGGGACTCAATCCCAGATCTCTGGGATCATGACCTGAGCTAAAGGTAGATGCTTGACTGATTGAGCCACCCAGGCATCTCCATACATTTTTACTTTAAAAAAAATTTAACTTCAAGTGGATTAAGACCTAAATGTAAGCTACAAATGATTTTTAGAAGAAAACAAGTGTAAATCTTTGTGACGTTGGATTAAACAATGGTTTCTTAGATATAACATCAGAAAGAAACACAAGTAACAGAAAAAATATGTGGATGGGAGGATGGGTGAAATAGGTGATAGGGATTAAGGAATGCACTTAGGATGAGCACGAAGTGATGTGTACAGAATTGTTAAATCACTATCTTGTAACCTGAAACTAATATTACACTATATGTAAATTAACTGGAATTAAAAGAAAAAAGAAGGTGAAGTCAACATCAAAATTTAAAATGTGCTTCAAAAACACCATCAAGAAAGTGAAAAAAGAAAGCCATAGAGTGGGAACATTTTTTTTGCAAATAA